CATAGGGTTGTCTGAACTGAACTGAGATAACTCATCATGGTGAATAGCTGACAAGAAACCATGGTTCTATTCATGGATTGTTCATGGACGACAAGCCATGGTTTGTTAGTAGCTGGATTCAGACATGACAAAACAAGTTTCAGCTGCAATCCATATTTAACCCTTGAATGTGGCTTATCATGTTGTCCGAACTTGGTATATAAATATGCACCCACACGCCAAAGGGCATCAATACATAGCATAAAAACCATTTTCTTCTTCTTTCTTTCTCTTTTTAGGACCTGGATGTTGGCCAAATTTCAGATCACCACCTGGAGTAAGCTCCCTTGGACTCATAAGCACAGACTTCTGACTGCCTATAAATTCCATTTTGCTTGGTAGGCACAGATCAAATTAATATAGAGATATTTGAGATCATCTTGCGAATATATGCTGACTCTGATCTGTCTATGCTTTATAGCCTACTGCAAGGCCCTTAACTATGTGGATCATGAGAAGCTATGGATGGTCCTGAAAGACATGGGGGTGTCCCGGCAGTTAATTGTCCTGATGCATAACCCGAATTGCAGGCAAAAAGCTATTGTTAGGATAGAATATGGAGAAACAGAATGGTTTCCTGTAGTCAGTGGGGTCCAACGAGGGGTGTTTTGAGGATTGAAACCCTGGGCAGGCAACTTGGGTCTTTCCAGATGTGGTTGAACTACAGCTATTCACCATTGGCTTTAAAGGTGTGATTACTCAGAAAATGGTCTTGTGGAAGCATCTCCCTTGTGATGGAACAGGCTTATCAGAATGGTTTTTGTGATACTCTGTTGAGGTTTCATTGGCATTGGGTAAAGACCTTTTTGTTACCTGGGATAATCAAATAATCAGTGTAGTCATGCGGAAGGGGGGAGGGACATTCTTAAAATCTGTTTAATTTGGGGGCACTGTGAATGTTGTTTTGTTGTTGTATTTCATTTCGCTTTTGCTTATTGTGTTTTATGAACTATTTTCTTTCGAAATTATTTTCATCTTTCTTTAGTACAAGTCATAAAAGTGTCGTGTTACAGGACAGCGTATGTCATAAATAAATGGTATACATCAGGTCTTCCCTATAACACATGGTGAGTAAATTGCAATCTGCACATTCGCAGAGGCACTATTCTTAATTACTACTTTGCAACCTCTCATGCTTCTTATATGCCTCACTTTCAGTTCAAGTTCCAGCCAGGGTCAGGCACTTGTTCCATGAAAGCCATGGGGTACTTGGCTTCCCACTGGACGGTGGGTAACTATTTTGGGAGCTGTGGGGAAGATGCTTCTGCTTATGGGGCAGTACTGGGGACTGAGATAGGTCCAGCATGAATTCATAGGTTGTAATGACAAAACTGAAGCTGTCATACTCCATGCTCATCATGAGGAGACAAGACTGGCTGGAGAAGACAATCTTGCTAGGGAAGGTTGAAGGTAGAAGAAGAAAAGATAGGTCAAATGGATGGATCGACTCCATAAAGGAAGTCACATCCTTGGAATTACAAGAGCTGAGCAGGGCTGTCAAGGACAAACAATAGAGGACACTCATAGGAAGTTGCAGATGACCTGATGGCAGGTCAAGTTTAAAAAATGGTGCTGTTGGTAGAAGGACATTAAATCCATGTATTTCATCATTTGGCATGGACCGTGGATGGGTAATGGCAGAATAGAATACTGTGTAGAAAACGTTCCAGCATTGCTAGGAAAATGAAATTACGCTCAGCAGCTCCATTTAAACTGGGAACACAATCTATGATGGTGTATATCCCATGCAAAAAACTAACCATGCTGTGGGGGTGGTGGATGGTAAGAAGTTAATGGGAGGAAACTAATAGCAAGCACGGGCCGAATTTGTGCTAGATTTTAATTGCTACTTTGGTTTTCTTCCAACATCCCTTGAATGTTCACATTAACCCCACTCCCCCTCCTCACTGTTGCTCAGGACTGGATTTATTTTTAAAGCAAGATCTTTACTGCCAGGTTTATTGATATTACAGATTCATTATAATTTTGATTCCCTGCATTTATTCTTCCAACGTTACCAAACCTTGTGAACGAGACTTTAATTCTCAGGACAAGGCCAATTTGCAGCCAAGAAAAAAAGGGGGAGATTCTATGCATGTTTGGGTAGGAAAAAGTCCTAGAACCGCCCGGGATGGCATCCTGGGGTGTGCTTAGAATTGTTCCTGAGAGCGGAGACAGGCAAATTCAAACGCAGCTTTTTTTCCTTGGATACTTTTTCAGAGGGAACTTCAAATTCCTGCCAGTAAGCAGCAGCTCTGGCAGAGAGCGCACATGTGTAACGTGACCAGCTTGTCAACTTCAAATCCAGTTTGGAGAACGTCTTCTCCAGCTGGCTCGTTGGTCTAGGGGTATGATTCTCGCTTTGGGTGCGAGAGGTCCCGGGTTCAAATCCCGGACGAGCCCTTCTTTTCTCTCCTGCTTTGCAAATACTTTTACATAGGGTGCTGGGAAAAAATGAAGAGGGCGCTTAAGATCACGCTTATCGAAGGCAAAAGCGGCGTTTTCGCTCTGCAATGGAAGAGGGTAGATCGCGGACTGCTTTGCCTGGGAATGTTTCCAAACACACAGCGAGGAGGAACCCCGGTGGACTCGGTGGGACTTCGCGGAAAAACTGCACGCGTCTCCGCCCCAGGAATCAGGGGCTGAGGTTTGCACGCAGGTTTGTAATTCTTCAACACGCAACTCCGAAGTTCTGCATACTGCAGAAGTAGTGGGCCTTGGTGGGGGGAGGTTACTTTTCATTCGCTTTCTCGTATGCACTGCTGGATTAATTTATCTGTTGCTTACGATGCTTTTGTGCGCTCTCTCTCTCTCTCTCTCTCTCTCTCTCTCTCTCTCTCTATATATATATATATATATATATGAGCACTACGGTGCTTTTGTGCTCTCTCTCTCTCTCTCTCTCTCTATATATATATATATATATGAGCACTACGGTGCTTTTGTGCTTTCTCTCTCTCCCTATGAAGCACTGTTTTTCATATTGCATGGATAGCCGCTTTGGGGGAGTATTTGCATAGGAAAGGTTCGCCGATGTAACTTTAGTAATAAATACACAATCAGATGGAGAATATCATTCTTAGCTAACTCAATCTTCACACTCGGCTGCCCCGCCGGGACATTTCTAGGGCGTTGTGTGAGGCACAAATCCTGTGCAAGGCTCCATAGCTCAGGGGTTAGAGCACTGGTCTTGTAAACCAGGGGTCGCGAGTTCAAATCTCGCTGGGGCCTTTGTTATGTTTGCGCCTGGAATAAATAAAAAGGCCCGAAGTTCTCACGCTGATTTATTACCACCCAAGGACTCGCGTCTTGCTTGCGTTGGATTACAAAGGCGGGCGGCCAAAACTTTCCTTGCGGCTCGTCTTTTGGAGATCGCTTTACGCGACTGCGGAGGTGGGCTCCGAGCGGCGCTAAGGCATCTGCCGCGATGAGCCTGCAATTTGAAGGCAGCCTCAGCAAGGGCGAGCAGGCAGTTGTCGGCGTTTGAAGGTGCAATCCCAGGCATGTTAGAAAGAAATAAAGAAAGAAATCCTACAATTCCCAGCACTCCTCGGTCAGCCATGGTGCCTGGGGGCTGTAGGACTTTGCTTCCTTCGAAATATGCATCGCCTTGCAGTTTGAAATTCCTACTGAGTTAGTCGTGGCTCCCTTTTTTCCGCTCTGCTGCCGGCCTTTTTCCTCGTTCCCCCAGCAATGAAGGCATCGAGACCCAGAACTGGCTTTGGGCGCCATACTATCTATGGAAGGTTAGGCAGAAAAAATTCCTGCCGCTCTCAGCATGCCCAGCCAACAGGGGCTGTTTAGGGCGCATTTCAATGCAGTATCCCCTTTCGCCCCTTATAACTCTCAGCACGGCTGGCTGGCGCCCGCTGGGATCCCTAGGGGTATTTCCCTCTGCTGTCCAGTCCTGCAAAAGATCGCAACCTAAATTATCCAGCGATATAGAGGAGGAAATCAGAGCCCTTCCTTCCCTCCAACCGGGAACAGGGAGAAAGTTTTACAGTGCAATCATTCTGTGCATATCTACTCCGGAGTAAGCTTTATCAAATGGATAGGATCTTCCTTCCGGGCAACGAGATATGTACGCACTCGGCAGGGAGTGAATTCCGCGCGACTCAACAGGATCTTTTTTCGCTTAAACGTGCATGGTATTTTGCTCTTAATTTCAATCCATATAATTTTTAGAATATCTCTGTCTATGAAGGTAGATGAAGACTTCTTTCAATCTTCTATTTTTGAATAAAGAAACATAACTGAGAAGGAGAAAGTTTGATCCAAAAACAGCTGCTTTACAGAAGAGGAACATTGGTAAGAAATCCACGAAGCGCTGAGCAGAACTGGCTACCACTAGATGGCACTGAAACAGAAAAAGATTGGGCGGCGTGTGTAGCAACTGGCTCGTTGGTCTAGGGGTATGATTCTCGCTTAGGGTGCGAGAGGTCCCGGGTTCAAATCCCGGACGAGCCCTGTTTTTATCTTCCTACGTGACCAAATATTATAATCACCTTGGAAAGGTTATTTATTTTTAATTTCTAAGTGAACAGGTTGCATGAATTCCTTATATGGGAAACATAACTTATTTTAAAGAAGCACACTGCAGATAGAATTTCCTTCTTTTCCCAGTTTTGCATTGTTGGATCAGTACATTTTCTAAAACTTGTCTCACAAGTGTGGAAGGAAAGCAAAACGTTGAATGATTAACAAGAAATAAAAAAGAAAAGAGAAGAGAAGAGAAGAGAAGAGAAAAGAAAAAGAAAAGGAAGCATTATTCCAAGTATTGCATGCAGCTTAAATTTATTTCCAAGACTGACATATATGAATTGAAATAAGATTTTATTCTTGGTAAATATAAGATAAAATGTGTGTGTGTATATATTAGAGACAGAGAGAGAGAGAGAGAGAGAGGAAGGAAAATGCATGAATGAACAGAGTATAACTGGGTTGCTTTCTTGGCATTGCACTTCATATGTCAAACCCTCCGTAATTTGGGACTTCTGTCTCCAAATGGACGGGATATCCATCTTCACAGGCTATGATGATCCTTTCAGTATTGTTGATTTCTTCATATCTGCAGTTGGGTGCCCAGGAACCTCTCTGAAGCTTACACAGCGTGAGAGGGAAGCTTGTGTCGCTTTCTCGAAGGTCACCGGTGGTGGGTTCCCCTCCTTGGCCGCACACGGCTTGGATCTGGGAAACGTCCGCATGGAGAAAAGTGTTGAGATGTTTGCAGTGGTAAGGGTTCGCCATATGGCGCCGTTTCATCATGATGTCACAGTAGCCTGCGAAGGCGGGAACCTCCGTCATTGGGTAGTCGACATGTTCCCTCAGAAACTTCTGGTAACTTTTCGCCCTGGTCATGACCAACCAGACCGCCAGCAGGACAAAGGCTGTGGTCAGCCGTGGACACGTGTTTCTCTCCACCATTGTTACCTCGTTCAGTCTGTGATGGAGAGCAAGGGGTGGGGGGAAGCAGAACTGGATAGAAACGGAGATGAGTTTGGGTGGTTTGATGCCTGAGACAGAAAAGCAAAATAGAAGGTTTTGGATGGTGATAAAAATAGGAAAAGACAATGATGGTAAACTATGAAAAAGGCATTATCCTGGGATTTATCTATTTAGTGGCACACCCAGAAATCTACGCAATTTATTTATTTATTTAAAACATGCTGCCATCGCAACAAAGCCTCGGGGCGCCTCACAAAGAATACCTAAAAACATACATAAATAATAATAATATAACAATTTAAAAGAAAAAAAAGCACAACACTTAAAAACCGCCAGTGCATTCTTGACTAAAAATTTTAAAATCCTAATTAATACAATAATTTAGCAATTAAAATAAGTTTTGAATAAAAAGATCTTAGCCTGGCGCCAAAAAACAAATAACGACGGCACCAGGCGGACCTCTCTGGGGAACACATTTCATAGATGGGGTGCCACCTCAGAGAAAGCCCTCCTCTGGGTACTCACCCTCCTAATATCATTCACAGAGGGTTCCCGGAGAAGGGCATCCCTTGCTGATCTCAAGGGGCGGGAGGGCATATATGGGCGCAAGCGTTCCTTTAGATATCCAGGTGCCAAGCCGTTTAGGGCTTTATAGGTCATAACCAACACCTTGAATTGGGCCCGGACTTCAATCGGGAGCCAGTGGAGCTGACGGAGAACTGGGGTTATATGAGAACAATGCCCAGTCCCCGTCAGCAGCCTGGCAGCTCTATTCTGCACCAATTGAAGTATCCGGACTGTCTTCAAGGGTAGCCCCATGTAGAGCGCGTTACAGAAATCTAATTGGGAAGTTACCAGCGCGTGTGTCACTGTCGCCAGACAGTCATTCTCCAGGAAGGGATGCAGCTGATATATCGGCCGAAGCTGAAGGAAGACGCTCCTCGCCACCGCCGTCACCTGAGCTTCTAGAGACAGCTCAGGGTCAAGGAGCACTCCTAAGGTGCGAACCCTGTCCCTCAGAGGGAGTGCAACCCCATTTAGGACAAGGTCCAAGTCCCCCATCCCGAGGCCCGAGCCACCCACCAACAGGACCTCCGTCTTGTCTGGATTGAGCTTCAGCTTATTGGCCCTCATCCAGCTCATTACCTCGGCCAGGCACCGGTTCAGCACAGCCACTGCCTCACCTGGATTGGTGGAAAACGAGAGGTAGAGCTGGGTATCATCAGCGTACTGATGATTCCGCAGCCCACACCTCCTGATGACCTCTCCCAGCGGTTTCGTGTAGATGTTGAGACCAGCCTTTGCGCTTGGCACAAAAGACATTTAGATTGGGTTGCTTCCCCATTGGAAAATACAGAGTATGACATACTCAGCTTTTGTTGAAACAGAAACTCACAATGTCAGGTTTTGATAGTGCAGTGTTTGAGAAGATGAGGGGGAGTGGAAACTTGCCTAGGAATGGGGTGAGGAACCTGCGCTAGGATATTCCCAAGGACACTATTCCTTTCCTACAACCCCCCACTCATTTGTTAGCCAGTGAAAGTGCTCGAGGGACTTCATATTTTTGTTGGCATCCTTGAAATGGACAGAATATCAGCTCCACTTGGTAAGTCACACACGGGAAGGCCTTTCTCTGTTGAAGGCTGCATTCCTTCAGAAGTAATATGTGTGCGGGGCTTGCTAGATGCCAGTGGTGGATGGAAACGCCCCATTCCTGACATGGAACCAACCTGAGAACCAACCTTGGTTCTCTCTTTCTCACACCCTCCTCTTCTCTCTCTGTCTCCTCTTCCTGCCCAAGCATCTTCAGGGGAAGCAGTAAAGGGCTCTCACCTGAATGTATTGCATCAAGAGGGAATTAGAAAGTAGGCTGAGGGCCACAGGGTGTCCCACTGCTTCTGTCAAGGGGGGGACAAGGTTTGCTGTAGACCAAATCCCTCTCCCCACAATGACCGTTCCAGGTGAGGCGATACTGGTGACCACCCTGTGAGCTATGGCCGAATCGTCCATTGCCCTCCATCACAACCTCTGAGGTTGAAGTCTCAGCCTTCCAGGACTGGAGGCTCCTGCTGGGAACCGGGGGAATTTCCCCTGCAAAAGTGACTTTGCCAGCTTTAAAGGAGACGGCCCCATCTGCATGGTGCCAATGAAGCTTTCAAAGCAAACCCCACAAAAGACTAAGATAAGCTTCTCAATAGCTTACAAGGGGACACAAGTGTTTCTAGAATACATGAAATGTATGCATCTCAAACTCTGACCCCACCCTTGGATGACCCTCACAGACCATTACCTACTTCCATATTTATTAGCATTTCCAGTCCATCCTATTTGCTGAAAAGTGACAATGTGAGGCAACACATGCAAAGGCACCTTTCATAAAGTAAGTATTGTGATGTTGCATTATAGTTAGAATTGGTAATGAGCCAGGGAAGTTAGAAAGCTCAGTGCATTTGGTTTCAGCTTAACGCAGGAGCTTTCTGAACTCATGGCCGTAGCAAAGCCTTTCATCAAGGCCTTAACCCAACAGGACGAGAGCTGGGCAGTAGCCTAAGCCGGAATGGATGAAGTCTAGGAATGTTCCTAAGCAACCATTGAAGGAGGAAGTTTATTTAGTAAGAGGAGAAAATTATTTTGAGCAGGTCATCTATGCAAAAGTCATCTGCTCAGGTTCTCTTTTTTGGGTCATCTTTGAGTTTTGTCACCAGCTATTCTGACCAACAAATAGAACTCATGAAAATGGTTCCTGGAAGAGAGGAGAGAGACATTGGCTGGCCCTCGACATAAAAAGGGGCATCGGAGTAGAACTGAATATTGAGCCACAGACAAACTGTAACACCTTCTTTCTCCTCCTAAGTTACTCCTAGGAACTAGTAAAGTTTTCTCTTTCCATCCCTAGCTACCATGGAAACTTCCACGTTTTTGCCAGCCTGGAAATATTGGGTTGATTCCAGATTTAAGCCTTACTTAGGGTAGACCCACTGAAATCAGTGGGGATTAACTCATTCACAATGAATATATCTGGAACCAATCTCCACTCCTGCATTTTGCTATTTTTCCAGATCATGTGATCTGTCATCCATTGTTAGGGTCCTGGGATCTGTAAGTTTTTCTTTGAAAGGTTTGCCAGTAAGTTTAGTGAATCTGTGATGACAAGTTTTCCCAAAAGAAAAGAGGATTGAAATTAATAATATCCTTCCTTGCCTAGAATTAGGGAATAGTAACCCCTTTTGGCTATCCTATCCCTAAAATTACAATAAAAGATGCTCAGATATATATGTTTAACCCACTTATTTTTCAAAGCCTACCTTTATATTAAGATGCAGCTCCTGTCTCTTCTAACACCTTCCTGGATATGAAAACAAAGAAGCTAATTCTCCAGCGTGTGGGAAGCATATCATTATTACTGGTAAGTAAGTTATGCAGGCAGCCCAGCAGGAAATACCGGAGATGTTTCCAAGCTGTAGCATAATGCACCAGGAAACTGCCAGAGGCTTACTTACATTGCCAAGCATTTCTGTCATCATGAGGACTAGAAACCTTACTGTGAAATTGAAAGGTAAAGTAGAGCTTGCACAAATAGAGGGGGTATATGGGAGAGAAATGGACCTTGGTACATCTGTGAGGTTTATTTAATCCAGATGTTTGTGTAACAATTAGGAGAAGAGTGCTTGGGGCCTGTTGATTTAGAGCATCACTTATTTGAGCTCAGTATCATTGTCGTTATTGGCAGTCATTTTCCACGAAAGCTGCTCACACCATCAGTCCAGACTCTTTCTGTCTTTCCTTCCCTGCCTCTTTAAGCACCATTCCCTCCATTTCTGATGCTCAGGCACCAAGCTTTTCAACATGAGGCTGTTCACCTGCTGCTTACCTGTTGTGTCTACTTTTGGGTTTGTCTTGGAGCGCTTGAGATCCAAGCACTGCGAGAGAAGCGATTCCTTTCCTGCATTTCCAAGACAGAAGCTCTAGATGGCAGTGTGGTATAGCAGAGGAATGCAACACCCCAGTTTAGAAAAGCATTTTCTTCTGGTTTTTAAATTAAAGCCTACCATTTCCATGCTCCGAAAAAACCAAAATCAAATCAAGAAAATGCCTAAAAGTGCTTAAGTATCCAAAACTGCAACACACCATAGATTTAGAGAAATTCTGAGGTGTGTGGAAACACAAGAGTGGCACAAGAATCGTCTGGAAGGATACAAACACACCAAGAAATTTATGCATAAGGAGAGGGTTTATTGGTTTTTCACTGTGCTGCAGCCATTAGCAAAGGTCAGGAGGGGGACCCCTGAGGCAGCTCCTCCAAGACTGAAATTTGGAAGAGCATGTGTGGACTCCATGTTTCACTTTGCAAGATGTCACTCTATCAGCTGATCTCACATGGATGGATCCAGCAGGCACAGTTGGAGCTGGGATCTTCTCTAGAGTGTGTGCTTGCAGATGTAGGCGTTGAGTTTCTTGCAAGGAATATCATTCCACTGTTTGAATCCTAAAATGCAAAATAGAGCTCAAAAATTATCTCTCTGTAGGCCTTAAAAATAATTCATTCTTGTCTCAGTGGGTGCTAGCTGCAAGATGTTTCAACCTTTGAAGGCCTTTGATTTTCATCCATCAAAAGAAAAACTTCTAGTCCTCATGCTTCTAAAAGTTTTCATGACAGAAAAGATGGATACATGGGTTCAAATCAAAGCAGGTAAGTAAACTGAAGGAGTTCCTTCTTCCTGTTTTTTTGTTCTGTAAGAACGTAAGAAGTTCCATGCTGGATTCGACCAAAGGTCCATCTAGTCTAGCATTCCATTCACATAGTGGCCAAGCAGCCGCTCACAGAATCCCTCAAGCAGGATAAGCGCCCAAGTTCCTTGTAACTGGTGTGCACCAGAGTAGCACATGGGCAATGAAACTAGTAGCCATTGGTTGGTTCCTGCTCTGTGAATTTGTCCAATCCTCTTTTAAAGCCACCCAAATTGGTGGCATCACTGCATCCTGCAGCAGTGAATTCCACAGTTTAACTGTGCACTGTGTAAAGAATTATTTCCTTTATCTGTCCTAAATCTTCCCACTAAACAGCTTCATGACATGACCCCTTTGGATCCTAGTATGATGTTTACTTGCATCACACCATGGATTATTTTAAACAACATATCATGTTTCCCCTTACTCGCCTTTTTTGCCCTAAGCTAAAGAATCCCAGCTGTGGTTACTATTCCTCACAGGGGAGTTATTCCAAACCCTGAATTTATTTTTAAAGTTTGCTCCTTTCTGGGCTTCTTCCAACTCACTGTTGTCCTCTTGGAGATGTACTGATCAGAACTGTGCACAATATAGTGTCAAAGATATGTATAAAGGTTGTACAATCTTGGCAGTTTTCTTTTTAGTTCCTTTCCTAAATACCCCTAGCAAGGAGCTGGCCATCTTCACCGCAGGTGCACAGGGGGTCAATGTTTTCATGAAGCTGCCCAGATCATTCACTGCTAGCTCAGATCCCAGCCTGAGGAGATCCCTCATAATCCCTTTTGGTTTTAACCACCCTGAATAGTTTGCTATCATCAGCAATCGTGGCCGCTTCACTGCTTACTCCTAATCCCAGGTCAGTTTTGAATAGGTTGAAAAACTTTGGTCCTAATATAGAACGCTGTGAGACCCCATTGTTCACACTCTTCCAATGGGAAAATGGCCATTTATTCCTCCTCTTGGCATTCTGTTCGTTAATCAAGTACTGATCCATGAGGGGACCTCCACCCTTTTATTCTGTGGCTGCTAATTTTGCTGAGGAGCTTTGACAAAGTTTGCTAATGAACGTTGTCAAAAGCCTTCTGGAAGTCCTTGTAAATAAAGTCTACTGGATCAACCTTTATTAATGTGCTTGTCTTGGTACCTCCCCATACCAAGTTTTTCCACATCCAAGGCCAACCTTTTCTTTTTAAAGATTCTTTAGAAACAAAGCATATCCCCATGGGTGCGGCATGGAAAATATCTGGCTCAGAACAATTATACATAAAGTTATGGCAATCATGTGCAAATGATATAGATTAAGTGTAGTTCTCTAGCTTGGGGATCTATCTTGGAAGCGGCCGGACTTTCTGCAGCACCTGAGGATGGGCTGGCTCACCTGTGGATCGACGGAGCTCCACGCAGTGCTCATTGTTGTGATAGTTGTCGGGCTGCTGGCTCATCCAGGACACGTAGTTGTAGACCGATTCATCAGCCCACCTCCATTTCCTGGTCTGCAGAAACGGGACGTGCAGATCATGTGGTTAGCGAAGGAAGAGCCCAGGAAGGAGAAGAGATCTTTTGATTTTGATCTTTGAGAGAGTTTGATTGCCAGCGTGATGGAGGTAGCCAAGGTGGATTCCAAGAGAACATGATGGAGAGGTAGCACATGGGATTCGGTGTAGAACATTTCTGAGACAAGTCTACAAGGCTACCTTAGCAGGAACGGCTTGCTAAGGAATGGAGCAAGTGGGAGACGCTCACCTGACGGACATCATGGAGCCCGATCCAGACATCACTTAGTTTCCGCTGGTAAGTGGAGATGTGTTCGGCCACCAGGAGGGTCTCTGCGTTGGTCAGGATGGAGGCAAGGTGGGCTCCACGGCCATAGCTCTGGCATTCAATCTGAGGATGAACAACCCTGAGTTCATAAAACCAACTATAAACCATGGCTTCTTTTTCTGGATTGTTCATGGTTAGCAACCTCTAGTTAAACCATAGTGCAATCCACAATTCACCGACCCTACTCTGGGTTGTCATTGTATGTGGACTGGGAAGAGCCTCAGAATGCAGAGTGGTGATGAAAAAGATGACATTTAGGGATTGTTATGAAAGGAGCAGAAAGAGGTTGAATGGGATTCACTTTCATGTAAAATGGTGATGAGAATGAGCTTAGTTTTCTTGAAGGAAGGGCTGGGAAACTTGTGGCTGGATGTTTTGACCTAATGCTCACATAAGCCTTAGCACTCTCAGTGATGGCTGATGGGAGTTGTAGGCTAAAACATTCTCTCCTCTGTTACATTCCCTAAATTAAGAAGGATTCCTGCTAGTATGTTGAAAAGGCTTCAAATGAAGAGAATAGAAATTCTGAGATTTTGCATGGAACCCAATCTTGGGATATTTGCTTCAGAATTTCTAATTCATTTGCAGTCAAACCTGGTAACCTGGATGATTGGTGTTCAGTGCAAACTCTTGATTTTTCTCTGCATTGTAAGCACCATGAAATAATATATCAGAACTTGCCTGGTTGGGTAAGGAGCGCTTCTTACCTCAGCCTCTTGCCAGGTCAGCTTGTTATCGAAATACGCATAACAGTTTCCCTGATTCTGCAGCCACTCTCTTGCACAGGTGTCTGCCTCAGCTGCAGGGACAGAAGAGGGCCAGAAAGAAGACAAGAGAAGCCATGTTGTTTAGTATTAAAGCATCTTTATTCTTAAGGAAAACAATCCTACTATACCTTGGCTGGAGGTGAAGAAACGGTGGCCTCCCAGATGTTGTAGGACTCCTCTTCCTTTCACCCCAGCCAGCATGGCCAGTGGTCTGGGATGATGGGAACTGAAGTCCAACAACTTCCAGAGTGCTACAAGGTCACCTCCCCTGACCTAAACAATGCTGGAATGGGCATTTGAGAGCTGGTGGATCACCATGTTTGCAGTTGGAGCCGTAATCTGGTGGTCTGTGTTGGAACTGCTCCACCTTGCTTCAGTGGATTGCCATTGGTCCTAGGACAGCTCTATATATCTGGGGGATAAACCTTCTCTCTAGTAGGCCACCTTCAGCAAAACCATTTTTCTTGGCATTATGTACACCAGTTGTTTTTCAGACCATGCTACTGGATGTCCTGGGAACAGTTGGTGTAACCCATAGATGAAGCTCTTCATTTGAGTTGTGCCTCCTGGTTTTCCCAGAGGCAAGTCAATACTAACATGGTTTTCTTGCATGCTAACAACTCCAAGGGAGAGGTGAGAGCATTTACACAAGGATACATATACACCAGCATAAGCACCTCTGTCTGGCTTTCTAAGCAGCGAATGGGCTCCAGGAACTATAACTAGATGAGGAATAAATTGGTTTCCAGAACAGGATGAATAGAACATGAACATTCTTGAATAAGAAGGCCTATTTGGCCTATGTTCTTCAAATTCCATGTGTATTGGATCCAGCTTTAGCCCTATCTAGAGTAAACCCATTGAAATCAATGGGACAACTCAGTCATGAAGACTAACATGCCCATTTAATTTCAGTGGATTTATGGAGCAGGGCTAAACTTGGGTTCAACCCACTTGACTTCAAGAAACCTTTCAGATGGATGGCAAAAAATCAATATCTAGCCAAGAACTTCTAGCTCTTCCACCACTTAACCGCTTTGGACTGCATTTATTTATTTCATTTTTAAGCTGCCCCATAGCTGAAGCTCTACATGTGGGACACAGCAATGTAAAAAATTTTAAACATAAAATACATTATGACATTTTTAAAAAGTTAAGACTACGGTATAAAATGGGAGTAAGAACTAGAATAAAACCCAGCAGCAGCACAAAGATTCAAAATACATTACAAAATTTAAAACAGACTGAAACTAAAATTCCTGAGCCAATTCCTGGGAAAATAAGAAGCCTTCAACAGGTGCTGGAAGGCAGTGCAATGCATCCAATCTTAGTCAAAGTTCACTCATTCATTGTATTGGATCTACTCTAAGTAGGACTGAGGTTTAGCTCAATTAATATCAGCTCAATTCAAGGCATGCTATTCATTTCTTCTAGAGTCATAGACTTGCTAGATCTTACTGGGTTACACTACTTGAAAAGGTGGCACCTGTTTGTTTTCATTACCACTCAAGCCTGAAAAAGATTTCAGGATGAGTCACTTTCAATATCTTTTAAAAACCCTAACTGGTCAATCAAGCATATTGAAAGATTGCTGTTATTTATCCAGGTTCTGTTATTAATTGTCCATAAAATGTCAGTATTTCTTGAAGAAACTTACCTCCTAGGAAAGGATTGGCAACCAGGATGCTGAGAAGGCAAATACCGAAATAGGTGATCAGTTCCATCTTTACCTTTGCGAGGAAAGGACAATAAGTTCAAGAAAAGTGTAGAGTGAGTGGCATTTGTTCAAAGTCAAAATATGAAGGAAGGAAGGAAGGAAGGAAGGAAGGAAGGAAGGAAGGAAGGAAGGAAGGGAAGGAAGGAGATTATTGAAGGAGAATGCCTCAGAATGGAAATGCCATGCTTCTTCTGGATGCAATCGGATCAGAAAAGTGCTCGTGGTGTTTTGTTTTCATCTGATAAAGTGACACAAAGAGTGTTTTCTTTAACAGGTCACTTTAACTTCTTTAACAGGTCACTTTAACTTCACTCATTGCATTCAAAGAAACCCAAATTTGTCACCAAGTGTGCATTTGGAAGAGATCTCGTGTACTCTGACAAATGTATCTCTGTGATACATACATATTTTTGGAAACTCACTTCTGTCAAATGCTTGATGTTGTTAGCTGTACACTGAAATTACGTCACATGTGAAGAGGACCTGTGAAACCCCAACCCCATGAAGCAGCGCTTGTTTTCCAATAATTTTACTCTGCATCAGTGACAACAGCAACACATTAATTAAGCATTATTCTTCTGCACAAAAGTTTCAAGCACCTTATCCATTCTGATGTATCTTTCCTATGACTGGGGCTTAACTCTCATTCTTTTGCTTTAATTTAAGAGTTATTCCTACCTTCTCGTAAGTCCTTGTTCACAAATCCATCACCTTATCTCAAAGTCCAAGACTGGACTCAGCTCTTCTGCCACTCACCTTGTGGTGCTCCTCTGGTGGATGGTTGATCTAGAGGTCTCTCTGATGGTTCCTTGCTTTCTGGCCGACTGTTTTATAGACCCCAAGAAGCCCTGGTGCAATCCTGAGATGCACTAAACGCTTTGAGGATATCCTGGTCTGCTCTTTCTTCCATTTTGCATAATCTAGAGTCAAATGGGTGGAAAGGAGCTCATATTGCCATCCATCAGTGGGGCTGGGCAGGTGAGGAAAACAGTATTGATTATCAACATGACAAAATACGTTCATCTTCCTTCTGCCATTGGCTTTTAATTCCAAACACTGGCCTGGTTTGAGCAAAATCTTTCACAAGACTTCCTTAACTTGCCAATTCCCATCCAAAGCCTTCATCTCCCCAAATCATCTAAAAGGCACCAGGCTGGGGAAGGGTGGATTTAAACTAATGAACAGAATTATTTTTTGTAGTTAGCACCCACATGAGCTGTAGAACTTGGGAAAGTAGTCAAAGATACTTGGCAGTTTCTTTCAGCCTAATTCACTGAGCTATTTCCCTCCTCAAATGTTTATTTTCTCCAAAGAGATTTGGTATATCTGCACACTTAGAGGTTCCCGAACTCTCCTATTTCTCTCTTATATGTTGAAGATGCAATATTTGTTACACAAATATTCACACTAGGACAACGAGTTCACCATTATCATTTCCGTTACTCCAATTCAGCAAGTGCTGTCACAGAATCATAGAATCATAGAATAGTACAGTTGGAAGGGGTCAGAGGGCCATTGGGCCCAATCCTCTGCTCAGTTAGTGCAGGACTCCAAGGTAAACCATCCCTTTAACTTTTTTTTGTGTTGGCCTTGAGGTGCTAGTGGAAAGATGGGGGTGCCAGGGCTCCGACTGCCAGCTCCGAAGTTGGAGTGCTGCCCCTGACCTCAGAGATGGGAATGCAAATTATCCTATGGCCCCTCAGAAAATGATTAGAGTGCATAGGATCTTTCTCTAAATAATCAACAGGTTTTTATGGTAAAAAAGACAGAAGAGGTGGTGGAAAAACATCAGAAGATTATGAGTGGAAAAATACAATGGCTGGACTTCTTGTAAATTTGGTGAGTAAGGCAGGGGAATAGCTTCATAAAACCTTATCTGGAAGCACCCTTTGTGCTGGAAATCTTAGGATTTTCCATCTTTTCAAGGCTTATTGACATACATACTAAAAGTAGGAATGTGTGAAGAACCCTTTTGGGGCTGAGCATTCGTTGGTTTCCTTGGGCTCTGGATTTCTTTGCAGCTGCCCTAAGTCCAAGGTCCCGCTGAGCATGGCCAGTGTGTTTGGGGCCCTCACCAGGGACTGAGCCCATGTGCCGCACAAGCAGAGTCCCAGAAGGTTGCTGGTGGCTCAACCTTGTTCCTCAAGTGTTTGAGGACTTCCTCTCCACTGGGCTTGCTTTGGGTGCAGCATGAGAGCAAGCCCACGAAATGATAGAGGAATGGACCCTGTGAGGTTTCATCCCAACCCTAATTATAAGTGAGCTCTATTCTCTGAGTGCAATTGCTAATGGAGACCAAAAGTCACCATCCATGAACAAGACCAAGTATCAGTAGAGATTTGCAACAGTAGGGGAAGCTCTCCTAAGGTGGGGACCCCCAAAAAGAGCCCAGTGAAGACTGAGAGTGCTGAGTGGCCCCCAGAGACTAAATGAATGTGGCGCTAGGAGAAGAAAAAACTAGGTGGAACAGGGGAAGCACAGTTGCTAGCAAGAAGAATTGAGCCCTGCAGTATTTGGTCATAGGCTCAGAGTATGTTCTGAAGGCACTTAAGGCATCCAACATGCTAAAGCTAAGCAGGTCTGGGGCTGGCCTGAGCTTGGAGGGGAGACCACCTGGGGACTCCATGTAGCCACCTTGAGTTCTGCAATGGGAGAAAGATGGGATATAAATGGATGGGCTTCTTGGCTGGAGAAATTTCACTTGCCACTTTACTGAGGCTTCTGCTTCTGGAATCTTTATGGAATTCAGATTGTTTTTCCACCCTGTTTTTATTCCTTTCCCCTTCTGCATGTTCCTTTGCACAACCACAAGATGGCGCTGCAGCATAGTGGAATTGTAAAACTACACAGATTTCATTCCAGTTCATCCCCCCTTTTCAGATAATACTACACTTTCCTTGCTCAAAAAAACAAAAAACTGGAGAAATGCTTGGAAAACATGGGAGACACCCCTCAGGATGAGAGCATTGTGTAAAGCTCCCCCAAAATTCTATAAGTGAGGAATTGTGAGTGTACAATAAATGCCCAGAGGGACATAAATCCCCTCACTCTCCAGAGGTTCCACTTCTAAGAGTAAATGACTGGTCTGCAGCTACATGACACCATTGTAAGCAAATCAGGTCTGGCCCAGTAAGCTCTGTCTGGAAGGGGATACAGCCTGGGAAACAAGCACACTTGAACTGCCCCAAGCAATTCCTAAGTACAGCGGCATCCAAGTCTAATCCATCAGATGTATGTGATGTGACATTTAAAGGTTCAGAAGCAATGGCCACCTTGCCCAGAGCACCTCGCATCTGGTTTTTGTGAGCACAGCTTCAGTCCCCACATCAATGAGAAGGAAATATCACACGTCCTTCCTGTTTCCCCTTGTTCCAGGGACAGCCCCCATTTCTGGCTCTTGGTTTTGGTTAATCACTGCCCTTCTTTTGTCCTTAGTTTGTATGGCACAACCAGACCTGATGGTTTAATCTGAGCCGGGACCTCTGCTTTTCCCCCATCCTTCACTGAGCACTGAATTGTGGAGAATGAGGGGTTCCTAAAAAAATAAGCAAACAAACCCTTCATTAGTGTGATGTGACTTATCATGTCCCCAATCCCCCACCCCACCTACACACACATCCATACACTCTGCAATGGCGAATCCAAATAGCCAGTGCTGAGTGGTGCATTTGGAGCAGCTTTTGCAGGAAAAGTAAGAAGAGATTTAAATAACCCTCTGCTAAATGAGTCTTTTTTAAAAAATGATAATGTTAAGGAAATGATCATACATATTTCAAAGGCAAAGTTGACACAAAAGGAAGTACCTGATTTTATTTAATGTTTTCTTTCACCTTCTCTCCCCAGCTGCAAGAGTGATTAGAATTCAGGTGGTCATCTAAGGGACATCCAGTCCCATGGAAATGTCTCCCTATCCTCCTCATGCCCTGAAAGCCCTTATTAGCCTAATAAAGGAAGTTTCCTCTGGCACTAATTGGAACTTTTATGCTAAGGCAAACAGCTGTGAGTATAGAGGAAGAGTTAACCCATTTTCAGACATCTGGTCCCAGTTCTGTTTCATGAACACCTAAATACACACTTGCATGGCGGATACTTAGAATAAAAGGCACATCAAATATGGATCAGCTTCGCACATCTAGTTTGGCTCTTTGAAGGCAGTGGGGTTCAATGTGGCACAGTGTCCCATGGCAGAGAAGAATATTTGACAGTGAATAGGCATGGAGGGTAAGTGAGATGCTTATGCATTAGTTTAATGGCACCAGGGACTAGTGGACACCTCCAGCAATAGCTAAAGAACATACATTTTTCCTGATGACCACACAACAGGGCTCAGTTTCTTTGGGTTTGATCGGAGAGGCACAAGAAGGTTGAAAATCTAAAAGAAATTCTGTCAGCAAGGTCAGAATGTGTAAAAATAAGCCTGGAGGCAGATGTTTTGACACCAAATGTCCTAAAAGGAAGTGTCGGTCAAGAGAACCATGTACAAAATGTAGCTGAATCTTTCCTGCTGGTTATGTTTTCCCCTTTTTTATGCATGTGTCCTTTTATTGAGCAATGTTTCCTGCTGTGACATTTTCCGTTACTAATCATTGCAAAAAGCTAAATGCATAAATTTGCTGTGCATGAAAACTGTAGCAGCTGGTGTTGACTGAGACGGGCTCCCTCTTTATTAGTGTATGTATATTGTTAGTGTACAATAAAGAGGTTGTTTAATATGAAAAATTGCTGGCGTTGCCTGTCTCGCTCATGGTCAGACAACAAACAAGATGGACTCCAACATAGCCAAATACTATAGAACCTCCAAGCACTGTGGTAGGATATCTTGGAAGCTGATGCTTCCTGCTGTGATGATTGGGGTTTGGACAACATGATAACCCACACTCAAGATTTAAGTATGGAACTGTGGGTTGTTGCTGAAATGCAGGTTATTGTGTTGTCTGAACCCAGCCAAGATAACAAGCCCTGGTGAACAACCCACAGTTCACATCCCCAAACCAAACCACAGGTTCTCTTCATGGGTTGTTCATGGTTAACTGGCTAAGGCTCCCATAGGATAGTGGGGTTCAGACAACACAACCCATGTTTCAACAACAACCATCCACATTTCAGTGACAACCCACACTCACCTCATGATTGTAGGTTAGCATATCGTCTGAACCCAGTCAATGTAGCTTTTAACAGGTGAGACTGGCTTCAGCCAGGTGGCTTCTGGCACTTGGCCAGTCTTTGCTGCATGCTGAATCCAAGCCTTCTACAGGGAATAATCCACAATAAATAGAGACAGTCGCCACTTATGCTTCAGGATGGCTTGAGTTCAGACCTCACTTGGTTGGATGGCTATCTATTCATAGGGTTGCATCTCAACTAAATCTTACAGCTGACCCAGTGAAATCAAAGGGACTTGAATTATCCATAACTAACTTAAGTTCCACTTGTTTCAATGGCCCTACTTAAATTACATCTAGATCTGGATGCATTGTCTGTAGGCTGGAGATAGCCACAACCTTGCCAACGTTACAGAGCTCTGACTCTGGTCACTACAGGGATGGGTAACAGCTTATAATTCCATGTATGCTACCTGGATTCCTTGGAACAAAGGAAAGGGGTGCAAATAAATTAAATAGTTACCAAAATAAAGGAATAAATCTGCACACAGAAAAATAGCAAGCCAGAATGTGGGACAGGCTGGATTCATTTTTCTTGACACGCTGTTTTCTATGTGAACTGATGTTTGTTTTGAATGGAAATGGAACAAGCATGAAACCTCCATTTGGAACTTGAAGGAGACCACCAAGTGGCTTTATGATGAATTGGCAATGTTGTTTGCTTCTTCTTTCCCATCAGGACATAGATACTTAAATGTCCTATTGTTTCAGTTAGGTTTTCTCTACCTAAATAAAGGGTGGTATGATATTTTTGAAATGCTGATGACTGGCAATATGAGCTGTTTTATATTAGTTTGGCCCTAGATTATGCAAAACTGAAGAGTCTAAAATTCCTTGAAGCCTTGAGCTCATCTTGGTATTGAGCCTTCCAGCTCTGAAGTCCACCACATTTGTCCACTCATGAGAAGAACATCATCACAGAGTGAGAAATGGAGATGATTCATATGCCTTGATCAAAAGGTTCCCACAAGCTGAAGCGGCTGCAGAATGAAAGGTTTTCAGAACTTTGATACGGTATTTTGCATCCATGTCCCTAAGTGAAGTGTTAATTAAGGTGTTGAGGTAATTTCAATATACAGCAAAATGTAGAGTATGAAACGCTTGTATTTGTAAACACATGCCTTGAAAAAAAAAAAAAAACAAGCCAGGGTGAAACTCCTTCTTAAATGCAGACTGGGTGGCAAAACAAGATTTCTTGTAATGCAATGTGGGAAGTGAGCCTTTAAGGATCCCTCTTTGCTTCCATGTATCAGATGAAAACAGATGAAAACACACGTTTTCCTTCGATGCAGTTCTACTTCTCACAAGAAGGGCCCGAGGCAACTGAAGTACATGGTTCTCGGCAACTTCCTTCCTTCCTAGTTTGGCACTGGGCAAATGCCATTCACTCTACGCTCTTCTTGAATGTTTTGTTCTTTCCCCTTCAAAGAGCAAAACATTAGGTGGGGCTCGTCACCTGCTTTGCCCTTTGCTCTCTAGTCTCATTTCCAATCCTTTCATGTGAGCTGAGTTCCTTCAAGAAATATCGACCTTTTGCACACAGTTACTAACAGGACCTTGATGAATAACTGCTACCTTCCTTTACTCTTGGTTAACCAGTTGGGGTTTTAAAAAGATTTTGAAAGTGAATTATCCTGAAATCTTTTTCAGGCTAGAGCAGGAAGCAAGAAGCAAAGTCAGTTTTCAACGCCACAGATTTTATCCAAATGTGGAAGGTGTTAGCTCTGCAGCAATTTTGCTGAAGTGTGATACTGAAGGCAGTGCTCTTGGGTACCAGAGCTGTGGCCACGGGGCCTCGGTCCTCAGCAAGACAGAGACATTCTTGGAGGCTAAAGGAGTCCATACTTGCAGCAAGCACTCAGCGATGCTCGGCTTATGCTCTGCGATGTCTGTCAGGCGAGGCTCTCTCACTGCCTCCCTTGCCATTTGTTGGCACTGAGGCCTCATTTATTCATTTCCACTGGGGCCTCAGTGGCTGAGAGAGGAGGTGGACAGAAAATATATAGTTCATACTTAACTATGGAATTCACTTCCACAAGATATCCAGATGGCCAACATTTGGATGGCTTTAAAGAGAGATTTGACAATTTTATGGAGCTACAGTACCAGGGCCACAAATCCCAGTCACTCTATGCAAACTCCAGTATGCTCAGACATGCCAGTTGCTGGGGAATGTGGTGCGAAGAGGCCCTTGTCCCCTTTTCTATATTTAGCACCAGAGCTCTGATTCCATTTTGGTTCAGCTGGAGCCTGTCCTCTTATACTGGCCTGGTTTGTCCCCGATGTCCCTCAGTGCCTAGCTCATCTAAAGTCTCTACCCCTAACGATGAAACCCGAGCCCCTTCTCCCTGCACCAGCATCTCATCCATGCATGGACACCTGTCGGCATCACCACCTAGTTGGCACTGCATGTGGAAGAGGTAGCATTTCAGAGAACGCCACCCTGGTGGTCTTGGATTTCAACCTTCAAGGTAGCACCTTAAATTTGGCTTCCAGGACCTCACAGCTGCTTTCTCCTCTCCATCTCTGGTGCCTTCATGGACCACAACCACGGAATCCATTCCAGCACTATTTACAAAGCTGTCCAGATGGCAAGTGGTACCCACAACCTGTGCAGCAGGCAGCTAATCTGACTTGTGGCCCACAACCAGCCTAATGATTGAATGCCACATGCCACATGGATTCCATACTTGGAATAATATCGCAGAACAATTCTGTTTCTCTACCGTATCAACTGTGGTCAATTTTGCAGCAAATCATGACAAAATTCCCACAGCCTCCAGTGCGGAGTCACCCAAAAGGAATTCAGAGCCAGGTGGTGCACAGAACAGCTCAGTGCCCGAGGAATGAGGAGCAGGTAACAGGGTGTTTAAATTTGTGTGACTTTGCATGTGAGCAAAAAAGCTCATTGCAAAGCAAAGTGCAGCTCTGCTCACATGGACTGAGCTCTTGGTTCTACCAACAGTTCCTCGCTGTTCAGGCCCAAGGTGGAGGCAGCACTCAGGTGGAATGCTATCTCTGGAAACCCATGATGCCAGCAGATCCTGGCTGTGTTGACAGTCGACACCCGCAACATTTTCTGTCTGATCAGGGAGGGAAGTACAATCCCAATAGCTAACTTTCACTGTTTTGCCTGAGCATGGAGCTGAAAGGAAGTTGGACTGGGCTTGTTTCATGCTTAAACATTTTTATGCCTTTAAACATTTAATTTAATCAGCATGGATTGTTCCAAACCCTCTATTCATCTCTCTCTCTCTCTCTCTCTGCATGTATGTGTGTGTTTTAAATGTCCCTGGGTTAGCTTGCCTTTGCCTTGTGCAATGAGGGAACTCGTCCATCAGGTAGTCCCTTGACTTTACTGCCCCAGGTTTTAGCCAGTTTTCGACAAGGTTCCAGGTAAAAGCAGCTCAGCATGCGATGACCTCAGCAGGACACGGACAATGTAGCCGCATGTCAAAGAGAAAAACAGACCTGAGTGAGTATATCAATACTTCTGTTTGATGATCTGCAATGTAGAGGTTGGAGAGCTTCAGGACCTTATCTTAGGATTTGTAGGGAGCATGCAAGTTGAGTGTTATTGTGTGTGTGTAAATCTGTATTCTGATAAAATGCACTCAAAGAGCTGAGTGCTAGTGTAAAGCCCGCACAGTCTAGGAATCAGAGAAATGAGAGTGCAATTCTCACCAGGACAAATTGGGTACAGATAACTTCTTGATCATAAAACTTCTCAAATGACTAAGGACTAATCATTGACTCTCCCAAGGTGCTACCTTTATAGAACTGTTGTGAGGATAAAGATTCAACTAGATAGGACAACAGCAGGACTTAAGTTAAGGAGAGGGTGCTGGAGATATGAAGGACAGGAGAAGGAGTAGACACTTTTCTCTAAACACTTTTCAGCCTCCTTTTCCCCAAGAGGGAATAAGAACCACCTTCCTACCTGTTGTAACAGATGCCCAAGCAAAAAAATCTGCTAGGTTTGCAGGCATTCTAACACAGACCGAACTGATCTTGATCTTCCAGACTGACCTATGAGGAAGGACTTGATTATCCATCAGCATTTCTGTTTTCTGAATGTCTCTGACACAGTGCTCAGCATTAAAATTTGTATTTTATGTGTGCGTGAGAGAACTTCCATTTAGAACCGCATATTTTTGGTGAACGTACATTTAAAATACCCACGGAATTTGTACACAGCCCGCCTGGTCTGTGTGGGAGAAACTCCCCTGCTCTGGGTCCATTCCCACTCGCTCTACACCCTGGTTATTCCAGGGACAGCCTGCCCACCTGGGGAGTCTCATCTTGACACAGGCGCCTCCGCTTCTCTCACCTCGGTGTCCCTGCAGGACCTCAGTCCTAGGCTCCCCACGCTACTGCTTTGCATTCTGAGCCTGATTCTTCTGAGGCCCAGCCAGCAGTCCTGGAGAACGGGCGCCCAAAGCCTCCATCCTTCTCACTCCCAGAGTCCTAGAAGCCCCAGTGACTAATGAGCGTGACATGTCAAAAGCCAGGCTTCCCAAGCGGCCCTGGCAGCCTGCCCATCTTTTCATACAGGGATGTTTCCGGATCTCTCCTTAGATGACAAAGGGGAGAAAATGGGGCCGTTGACCTGCACTAGCCTGTGGCTGCTCGGCTTCTTCCTGACAGGTGAGTCCCTCTGTCCAGACTTGGTTTCATGAGAAGGAATCCATCTGGTGGGCATGTCATGAGCGGAGCCAGCTGGTGCTGGAGGTCAGACTAGATGGCCCGGGAGACCCCTTCTGACTCGCTCTGTTTCTATGTTTCTATGATCATTCATATCTCTCCCTCCCTCTCTCCCTCCCTCTCTCTCTGTTTCTCTGTAAATGGTTTTTATTATGTACTTTCATAGAATTATATAATAGTCGACTTGGAAGGGGTCAAAGGCCACTGGGTCCAACCCCTTGCTCAGTGCAGGACTCCAAATTAAACCAATCCTCTCAGATGGCTGCCCAGCTGCGTCTTGAATGCCCCTAGTGTGGAAGAGCCCAAAACCTCCCTAGGTCATCGGTTCCTTTGTCTTACTGCAGTTACAGTCAGGAAACTTTTCTTGATAACTAGCTGCAGCCTGGCTTCCTGTAACTTGAGCCTGTTATTCCATGTCCTGCACTCTGAGATGATTGAGAGGAGATCTTGGCCTTCCTCTTTGTGACAACACTTCAAGTACTTATATCAGTCTTCCCTTCCCTTCCCTTCCCGAGGCTAAATATGTCCTGGTCTTTCAACCTTTCCCCACAGGACTTTGTTTCAAGTCCCCCAAAGCTTCAGTTTTTGTAAACTGCCCAGAAAATTTCGGCTATTGGGTGATATCACAGTGCAGTAAATGAATGAATGATTTCACATGAAATAACAATACCCACAAAACAGGAAATGCTGAAATAGATGTGTCCACACCAGGCCCCTTCCCTTGTCCTTCCAGGCAGCTCCTAGGTGTTACCTCCTTAATCTATGACTTGGGTTGCTGGCATCTTTTTCCTGGCAGGGATCCTGTGCCTTTAGAAGCTCCAGAACAGTCAGGAAACCAGCAGGTGGCGTATTCGCTCCATACCAGTAGAAACTTCTCGGACAGAAGATCAATGCCAAGAGATTAGGAAATCTCTTGTAGATGTAGGAACGGGGAGGGAACCCTACTAATGCATTAAAGACTCTTCTAGTATTCTCTACTATGTACTAACTTTGCTTTCCCTCAAATTTCACTTCTCTGAATTTTGTATCCATGTCTACAAGCCACTGAAGCTGATCCTTGCCCAAGAGCATGGCTGCAATACCAGGGCAACTGCTATGGATTTTTTCACAAGAAGCTGACCTGGCATGAAGCAGAGGTAAAGCAAGGGATGAACAAATCTGTCCAGTTTGATCCCATTCAGTATCTCATTTTCCCAACAATGATTTTGTTGCTTTTTGCCTTTGTATCACTTTACAGTGGTGCCCTTTCCCCTGAAAAAGTATGCAGAAAAACGGGATGTATTTTCAGACACATTTGGGGGAAAATGCACAGTTTTGCATGTAGTTTCCCAAATGTAGACCCAAGAACTTTTTGCAAGCAAATTATACCCTTTCATATTGTATTTTGTGTGCACTTTTCCTAAATGAAAATGTACAATAAATAACATTTTTTTGAGTTGCAAGCTATTTTGTAAACTTTGGGAAAGTGCAGTTAGGGCTGCAATATTTTATTCCCATTCATGTGCAGATTCAGGAGGTGTGGCTTTGTAAAGTTCAGATCAAAATGATCCTTTTCATCCCTCCATGAACAGGTTGTAGTCAATGCGATATGGGAGGCTGAAGGCCAGGGCTGGCTGCAGATGTTTCAGCCTAAAGCTCCCACCATCTTGGTCAATATGGTGAAAGGTCAAAACATCTGGAGAACCACAAGTCACATGTCCCTGGTGAGAACTCCTGTTGTGTTTTTGTCCCTTCCCCAGATTGAATGTCAGAGTTATGGCCGCGGGACCCACCTCACGTCCATCCTCACTTGGCCAGAAACTCTTATCGTGTCCAAGCATATCTCCACCTACAAGAAAGAAGAGGGGGTGGATGTCTGGATTGGACTCCATGACACTCACCAAGTAAGTCTGAGCCTCTCTAATCATAAGCAGCTATCAGTCTAACCTTGCTTTGGGTACCATCGATTTAGGAATGCTTGAGCAATTCTATTGTTGCAAATTCTGCAGCAAATTCTGCATTGCCCAGATGAATGTGCCAATCAGAACTTACTCATTTGTGTTGTGTACCAACCGCAACATTCAGCACGGACCCTACTAAGATGATTCCAAAAATATCCAGCTTTGACAGTGCTTGATTTGGATGCTGCCCAGTTCAACATGGGGCTGAATTTGACTCCCAACATGATGCAGGAAACCAACAAACGAGGGACTAACATTTCTTTGCTGTTTAACAAAATTAGACTGTATCTGTGAAATCGTACATCTGCTATAAAAGTCCTTCCTCCAAATCTCCAAGCTGAGAGAACACTGAGAAACCTACTCGCTGAGATTAGAAGTTGGAGCTGTCAGTTGCAAATCTAAGAACACTTTTGACCCCCTTCCTCCCACCTTGACATTTTCCTCGAATGGAGAATGTGGGATACTTTTGCAGACACTTTGCTGGCTAGATGTGTGATTAATCCTAATCCCTAATGAATCTCTCTTAACCCTAATCTCTAACGAAGTGTCAGCAGGGTGCAGATTCAGATTAAGACCACTTGGAGAAGCCATGTTTTGATTTGGGTGTTTCTGAAATCAGAGCAGTTTGGTCGGAGGTTCCCCTGAATCTGAAACCTCATCCTATGCAATTAAATGTTTGTTTTAAAGATATTATTATGAATTATAGATCTTTGCAACTGTTAGCCATACTGGCTAAACAAAACCTTCACAGTGTGATTTAGGGCTCTTTTTATTTCCTCTGTCACTGCAGAATGGCCGCTGGAGGTGGTCTGATGAATCTACGTATAACTACAAGAACTGGATGCATGGAGAGCCCAACAACCTTTGGAATTCTGAATACTGTGTGGCTTTAAGGGCCTCGACAGGTGAGCACGTGGCCTTTGCCCATTGAAGTTGGGGAGTTCTTGAGACACATTACAAATTGACTGGTCTCTCCCTTTCGGTGGGTGATTATTCAGCCTTTTTTTGACAGCCAAGATCTGTTATACAGCAAAGGTGCAGCCTTCCCCCCTAACATGCATATAGGGCCCAACTGATTCGAAGGAGCAGGAGGTGGAGACCTCCAAGCTCCAACCCGAGGCTCCTCCACTGTCAAGTGGGAGGGCTGGCGGAGGCAGTCTTTGGGCTGTGTAGAGAAGCCATTTCAGAATGGGAGGGAAGGAGGTTGGATTGAGCAACCCTGTCTCCTTCCCTCCCTGACTGCCAAATATCCTTTGTAGCCCCTCTTTGAGGTCATTTTTCTGAGCTCAGAGAGCAGCCAGCAAGATTTTTCTGCACAAGCTGCAAGGGGCCAAGGAGGGGGATTGGAGCTGAGGTCAGAATGCCATTTTTCAGAGCTGGGAATCCAAGTTATCCTGTCCCCCTCCCCCAGTGATGCTTTCAGGGCATGGGATCATTACTTTAGGTTGTTGCCCCCTTTTCAGATCTCTGACTGGCTACAGGTTTGTTGCCACTGTGGGGTTGTTCGCTAGGAAACCCTTTCTTCCTATAACAGGGAAGTTGTTATACAACCCACATCTGGTTGGCCATGTGATGGCAACACTGTTGCTTAGGTGGGCTGCATTTTAAACAAAACAACCCTCCAAGGTTGGATCTTTCTCCTTTCTCTACGAGGTGGAAGCCAATCAAGCCAAGCACCCCTAGGACCAGCAAACTGCATCCTCCCAGAGCCACTGAATTGCAAACTCAAACTGGTGTGAAGACACCCTATGTTTTGTGATATCCTGGAAAGCATTTTGCTCCCACCCTGGACCCCCTTTCCTCTGGAGGATAAAATGACAACAAGGGATTCCAGAAGAAAGTCACACATCAATAAGAAATATCAGTTTCATTAAGTATGGTGGAAAAGATAAAGAAGGGGGGAAATGCTCATATATGAATCAATATAATTGTGGCACAAGTAAATGAAGTGGTCTGGTCCTGGGTTTAAGCCCTCATCTGGGCTTGAGAAAGACAGCTGCTTGAATTATTGGCAGCCAGCTAGAGTACAAACTTTAAGATTAGCATAAAGCACCTTTGCATTTGCACGTGCTAATCAAGATGCAACACATCACAAACTTCCCCATCAGATGAGTTGGACTACCATTCCTATTGCCCCCAGCCAGCAGGGCCCTTGGCTGTGGTGGAGGGGGATGTTAGGAGTTGTAGGCCGACACATCCAAAGGGCACCTGATTGGAGGAATCAAGTAGAATTGACAAAATGGGATGGAGGTACCCAACGGCATGAACTCGAGTTTGTGTTTTGCATTTCAAAGTTTCCATCCAAATTTGGACGTGCTCTGCAAATGAACCACGATGTTGCTAGTTTGGGCAGGTTGTTGGACATGCTTTTGTCTTAACTGTGAGATTTGCAGCAGTTAGACTGGCTTGACTGCCCTGAAGGGCCGGAGCAAATATGCCAAAAATGGACCACTGTCCCTCATGCCTGCAGGCATTCCACCAGCATGCGGAAAAGACAAAGGCTAAAACCAAAGCCTGGCTTTTTTTTCTGCTTACAGAATATAAGGGATGGATTGATGCTGTTTGCAAGAAATTGAAAGCCTACATCTGCAAACATGAACTCTAGACAAGAGTGAAGACAATTGCTGCACACAAAATGCAACTCCTTGGGAAGAAGAAAATGTAGCAACATTATTATACCCAACCTGGAACTTCTGACACATCAGTCGACCCTTTTCTCCTCTTCTGTCTTCTCTGTCTTTGCCTGTGACCCTGTCTATTGCTTATGTCCTTGCCCCAGGCAGTGGAACGATATTAAACTTTTCTCATGGGTGTCTCCATCACTCTAGCTTGCCACCTTACCCTCAGGTTGTTCTGATCCAGAGCTGGGTGCAAATGGTCCCTCCAACCCCTCCACGCTGTCTGTGGGGAGTGAACCTGGTCAGGAGAAATGTCCCCAGTGGTTTCAGTAGGGCTGTGACCCATCTGTTCTTCTCGAGTTCATGGACTTCCTCTTGCCTTCAGCCCCATCTTGGGAGAGTCTGCGAACAGTTGCAGAAGCCCGGTTGTGCAACCGGCTTCCTTCTTCCTTGCCATGTGCAGCACAAGTAGTGCAGATCACACACACTACTGGCAGAGTGGCCTTGTGGGGCTTGATGCCTATCAAGTGCCTTGCAAATGCTTGCCAGGAAATTGTACTCACAGCCACAGGAAAGTGGGCCGGGCTTCAGGAAGTTTGGCCCAGGGAATCTGATGGATTCCCACCCCCCAAAATGGAATCTTCACACATCTCTAGGCTGGGCAGTTTGGTAAGGGAGACAGTGCTCTCTTTGGTAGCCTGGTCCCAAGTAATTTAGGCTTTGTAAACCAGTGCCAGAACATTAAGCCTGGCACCATAACCAAGTGAGTTCAGTACACTTCCGTCAGCAACGGAACTGCATGCTGAGAATATCCTTTGAGGCTGGTTCCACAGAAATTCCAGCTCTTGGAGCAGCTTAAAGGCAGCTCCACATAAAACCCATTGCAGTAATCCAGGCTGGGAGTTACTAGTGCTTGTATCACTGTAGTGAAGCCATCCCTTTCCAGGTGGGAGAAGGTATAGAGGGACTGTTGGTAGAAGGCCGGGTGATTTGCAGAAGATTGACAAAGGGTCTCACTTCCCAATTGTTCCAGAAGAGGAACATCGGAAAAGAACCCTTGCCTGAGTTAGTCGCAACAAACCAGTTTCCAATGTCCAAGGCATTCTTGCCTTTTCAAATATTAAATAAGAAACACTGGTGAACATTCAACCTGATCTAAAGGGGGCTGCATCTGAGGCCATTTGCAATGTGAAAATCCGTCCCACCATGACCTAGAGAATAGTATTGCATCCCAAGACCTGAGGTATGTCTCAAGATCACCAAACATGGGTGGTGCCTCTCATGCCAGTGGAGTAAAGGAACCACTCCAGGTTCTAGTTGGAACTTCTAAGGAGCTATCCATGATGACTATTTTGGCATGTGGCTCATCACCATGGATTGCTCTTTAAATGCTCAGGAATCTGTTGACATACAACATCTGGTTCTGCGAGAGATTTGGGATGTCCTGCACGCAGCAGGAGAAGTGAAGTTTCAAATAGAAGATCTTGAAAATTGGTATGGTGGAGTAACTTTTGCTTTCATAGTTTCACAAAGAAAATGTGAGGCTCAAAGAGCTTACATTTCTTAGTACAACTTAAGTCTGTTGATGAGCCAAAAGGAAAGGGTGGGAGTTGATAAAGCTTGCTCAGTTGGATCTCTGAGTAATGCCCAGAGATCTAAATCAAGAAGTCTCCTGTCCAGGTTAATGAAGTGGAACATGAAGGAAAGAAATCTGGTCAAAGGTATGAAAAGCGGGTTCTTACTACATCAAGATTTCTCCATCCAAATCGTGCAGAATATTTCTCCTGAAACATTCTCAGAAGCAGATAGCAGAATGAAAGCATGTGTTACCAAACTCAGCCAGTCAACAGCTAGGGCAAACCCGGGTGAACCCCAGACCCGAGTCAAAAGGAGCCCGAGATGAGACTAAGAGCCAAAACCAGCTTTATTCTAGTGCACTATAGAATAAAGGGAGACAAAAGGGGACATTCAGCCCAAAGCAGTCTCTCGAAAGTTGCACCCCGGTACATGCATTTTATACCCTAGGTAACCCATTAGGTCACCTAATACACTTCTAATGCATTGATACATCAATGTATGCACCCCCTCCCCTGCTGGAGAAAGAGTCCTTTCTTCTGTCAAGGACCAGACATTTCCCATATCTTTTTCTTATCTGCTCGAGATTCACACAGCCTTGCCATGTTCTTACTCCCTGCACATTTGCAACTTTCATGGCGGCTGGAACCAGTTTGTACTGTCCCTTTGATTACTGTATTCGAGGTCAGGCTAGTGTGTTAGCTGTGGGTTACACAAAGTTCATTTTGTTCTTATCCCCCCTCCCTTCTGAGTTAGTATAACTGTGGTGTTTTTACTTTGTGGCCTCCCTCTGGCCAACTACCTTTGGGGTGTTTTAGGGTGTTGCAATTGTCAACACATGGAATCATTTCAAAAATGTGATCTCCTTTACAAATGAGGCAAAAATAAATGTTCTGCAGGTGTTTTAGAGATCAAACAAGCAAGTCGCTAATTTATGTAAATGGAAGCTTTCTTCTCCCAACAGGCAGATTATGTGGCCACCCTGTTTCTGGGCTAATTCCAACCATTGTTTCAATTGTTCAAGAATCCTGTGCAGTCCCAACCGCCATGCTCATGTGGGAGCACCTTCTAGAATTGTTCTAATGAAAAGCAATAACAAGCTGAAAGTTCCTATTCCCAGAAGCACAAAAATTTAGCTTCCACTGCACAATTGGAAGCTGCCCAGCTGCACATTAGAAAACCCCCCGATTTGTTCCTCTGGGTTGTACCATTTCCAACTGTCTGGAGGAGCATCTTGGCTCTGCCCCTTTCAGTTGGTGTCATACTCAGGATGACACTTCTGAGAAGGTCTCCCCTTTGATGCTTTCCTCTGACGTGGTTCTCCCATTCCCAGGCTGTAAATCAGAGGTGTCCATCCTTCCAGGTCACATCTTGCACTTCTAGCTGAAAGGGAGTCTTCTTGCAGCTTGCAATCTGATGGAAAACTAAGCAGAGAGATGGTCCCAGTTCCTAAGAATCTTACATTGGACTGGTTACCAACCATTTTGCTCTAGGCTGAAATCAGCTTAAAGCCATGGGACCCACAGTGGTGTGGGGGCTAGGTGTAAACAGTTTTGGTGGCCACACTGGGCAGGGAAATAATTTCTTTCCTTGCCCTTTCCTCTATCTTTCTTCCCTCCATCAGCTGGGGAATCTGACGACAAGAGAGAGGGCATTGTGTAGTTGCCGTGTGACTCCTTAACCTGACTGCATGAATAGACACATCCCTTCCTGGTGGAGTTTCCATACAATGAAATGCAATATTTGGGGAAGGATGGGGAACAAAGGATGAATGTGAAGAGCTGCGTTTACTCATTGTTTGTGCAATGGACATCAAAACTTAGAGAGGGGGACAAATCAAGCATCTCACCAAGAATGGTAGATTTTTGGGGAGAGCGGAGATCTGTGAGGCTAGACTGTCACTACGTGGAATTTAAGGTCAATGGGATGAATCCATGGTTCCAGTATCTTCATGATGGATATTCATTGCCCCTCAGTGCCTCTTTCTGAAGGATACAGTGCAGTTTCCCCCCAGTACCTCTTTCTCTGCCTAAATAAAGAGCAGATTGAGATGCCATTTCTACAGTGCTGATGGCTTGTGATAGAAGCTGCCTTCTTCCAGTTTGGCCCTAGATTATGCAAAACTGGAAGCAGTGGACCAGGATTTCCTTGAAGCATTTTGAATTGCACCACAGCTCCTCCGGGTCTATATAGTGTCACGCAGAAAGCAAGAGGCCATCAGAGAAGCTCCAGATACAGCCATCCATCACGTCTATCCACCCAGGAGACAAGCAGCACAAGGTCTGTAGCTGAGGTGAGGAGTCGTACATCTTGGGTGGAAGGTTCTTGAAAGTTGTGGAGTGTGCACGGTAAAATGGCTTGAAAGGCTTTGAGAGAAAGAGAGAGAGAAAGTGATGAACAAGGGCTTACAATGAAGGACTTAGGGAAAACTTAGCTGGATGTGTTATAGGGAACAATAGTTTGCAACCCTGATCATAAACCAAGTGTTAAGATAAAGCAATGTGATGAAAGTCTTATTAAGCAGTTTGATAGTTCTACATGGCTATAAAGTAGGACATATCAGTTTCTTCATCTTTCTACTCATTTCTTCTTTTTCCAATCTTGAGTTCAGTTCATATTTAACCTTAAACATTTCTTCAGTCCTAAGTTTGATTCATCCCAAACTCAGAATTTTGGAAGTTCACCAGAAAATGCACAAACAGTTTTGTGCACATTTTTCAGAATGCATGCATTTTTGCAGACAATTTTTCTAATATAATCCATTGTTGAACATTTTCCCCCAAGTAAACCTACTTTTCTATGCTGTTTTTGAAGATTCCAAAGAATTTGGAGAAGTGCAAATGTTGATGGACCACTAAAGTTTGGTTCTCATAGCCTGGTTCTTTGAAAATATCAAATTAGCAAATTCACATGAGAAATTCACACCTCCAGCTCTACTTAAAGTAGGGTGGCAAAATCTTAATTGACAGATCTGTGGAAAATTTGGCCAGTGATGAATTGATTAGCAAGTACAAAAGCAAAGGATTTAGGGGTTTTGGAGTCTTTACACACTTCATGTGTTATGTTTTTACATAACAATCATGTATGTTGCACACTTTTCAGAGCTAGGATTGCATGGAACTCTGTCAGGTCAGGTCTGTTTCCGTTGATGGACCATCATGTGTATTCGCCTTCTTGCTGCGATCGATCTGATTAAAAATGAAATGCAGAAAGGACTATTCCTTACAGTATATCCAAAACCAGCACACAGCTCACCCCTCCAAGGAAATATTGCTAACATTCCTTGCAAGAGGAAAGACTTGAAGTTCCCGTAGCAGAAGTTGCTCAGGTTAAATCAACCTGCTGCTTGAATCAGCACCTTTCTGCTTTCCCAGTGTGGCCCAGTTCTCCAAAGTTCGAGCAAAAGAGCAGAAATGAACAGAACAAGCAGAATTAGAATGGTTAAGGGGAAGTTCTGTGACCCCCAAGATGGTGTCTGAGGGGCCATAGGATATTTCAGATTCCCAGCTCTGAGGTGTGGAAGACAATGCAGGTGCCAGGAAGTTGAGGCCTCTCCAACTTCCTTTCCCTCATCTGGAAACTCTTCTACCAGATGTGCTAATGGCCCACCTAGTGAAAGGACAGGCACTCTGCTTCTCCCATCCTGCACAGGATACTTGTAAACCTCTGTGCCTGGGGAGGGGGGTGGCAGGGTGAGAAGCATTACAGACACAAAAGTCAGGTGAAAGTGCAGCTTCAGTTTCTTTCCTCTACACAGTGGGTGTGTGGAAATCACTTGGTGTGCCTTTAACTTGACTGGTATGGATCCAAATTCATCCTCCTTAGAACAAGTCAGTTGGGACTCAAGTTAGTCCTAAGTAGCTTGGCCTCATTGATTTCAGTTGGTGTATTCTTATGCATGACTGCTTTTCTTTCCCTTCAAAGGTCAAGCAGAAGATGAGATTTCTCACCTCCTTGAGCCTTTGCCTTTTGGGTATCTTGATCTCTGATCTTTTCCTAGAAGGTGCGTCTCTTCATAGTTCTCTACACGATACACAGCTAATTAAGGAACCTGCATGAATAAGGCTCAGTCTTTATTGCAGTGCCGGCTTTACTGGTTTAAGATTTAATAGAGACCATTAAAGACAGCTTTGTCATTACTTTGTTCCCCTTTCCCCCCCCTTCTTATTCCCCTCTCTGCAAACAGCTGAGGCTGACACCTGCGCCAGGGAATGGCTTCAAAACCAGGGCAACTGCTATGCATATTTTGATACTAAGGTGACATGGCATGAGGCTGAGGTAAGAAGCTGTTCTCCCCAATCCAAGTGCAATGTGACGTTTGACATCTCCAGGTTAAACGAACCCTTGTGAAAGGAAGAGAATGTTGGGGAGTTTGATGGGATAATAATATGGGCCATTGTCTTCTCCTCAAAATGTCAATTATATAGTCTTCGATGGAGAATCTTTTAATATTTCTGTTGAAAGTCAAGCTAGATACATTGAGTACAATCCAGGACCCTCTTTCCATGAGAGGAAGGGATGTTCTGTTGGAGTAAAAGAGGAAGGGCTCTCCTTGTAAATATCCCTTTACCTGAAATTTGGGAATCCCCTTGCCCAGGCAGTGTAATTCACACCATTCAGCATGGTCTCCTGACTCAGTTTCAGGAGACAAGGTGGGTGGGGCTACCCTGAGAAGGAAGAACTGTGATGTCTATCAGTACACTTGATCTAGTGTGTATCTGGATCCAACCCTGCTAGCTTCTCTTTTCAGAAAGCAACTGCATCAGTAGTGAGGAAATTTGGACCTGGTCCATGACAGTTTAGTCCTTCACTGTGCGTTGTTTTTCTGACTCTAATTGTTCTTTCATGGCTGCTTTTTATGGAACACACAGGCCGTGGCTGCTCCGCTGTGTCAAACCATCCCCTCCTCATTCTTTTTGCAATATAATACTAGTTCTTTTTGCAATATAATACTAGTTCTTTTTGCAATATAATACTAGTAAGCGTAATGAAAAGCTCACTAGGAATTGTACCCTTATGTCACAACTAGGTTGGAACTAACTTTAGATCTTTTAAGAAAAGAAATGCAGCAGTAAACAAAGCAACGACACTTTCCAATTCATTGTACAAGCTTACATTTCTTGAAAGTATCCCTTGGATTAGAATTCCAGACCAGAGTTCAAACTGTTTGCGTTCACCAATAAGTTGAAATTTGGAACACTTTAGCTCAGCACTCATCCCCCTGTTGGAAGCTGATAATGAGCCAACATCTTTGTTCTTCTCCTTCACTAGATTGAGTGCCAGAGCTATGGACGTGGAGCCCATCTTGCCTCTGTCCTCACCAGGGCAGAGACTCTTCTGGTGGCTGAATTCATCTTCACTTACCAGAAAACAAGAAGTGATGTTTGGATTGGGCTTCATGATAGCCGTCTGGTAAATCTTTTTCTCTTGCTCCATTTCTGGTTATCCTCAGATATACTAATCCAGCCTTGTCTCAGTATCCCCCATCACAAACCCATGTGCCATCACTTGATTCATTTTTTGGGAGGTCTCCTTGACCATCTCTATCACAACCTGAGACTGATCTCTGTCATTCAACTTCTCTCCACTTCATCTTTGTACTGAAAATATCCTGAGGATATTTATCTGCTTCTGTCTCCGAGTCATCTTTTTCTTAGGTATTATCCAATGTTGTCCCTAGATGGGATAGACTGAATGAAATGAATGGGATTTAAGTTCATTGGGATTTAAGTTAGGTTGGATCTGCCTTCCATGAAAATAAATGTTCTGTTGGAAAAAAAGAGAGGAAGAGTTCCACTTGAGGAAGATCTTTCTTCCTGAATTTTGGAGATTCCCTTGCCCAGGAACCATAATTCACCGCATGGGTTACTACTCTACATTGGACTGCCACTGGATACTACCCTTTATTCACATGATCTGTTATGTCCTGTCTCTGCAGACCAGAAAATGGAGGTGGGCTGATGAATCACCCTACAATTACAAGTCCTGGATGCCAGGAGAGCCAAACAACTTGGGCAACATGGAATACTGTGTAGAGCTGAGACAATCCACAGGTAAGCAAGCTATTTTCAGGGTCTGAGAAAGGATGCAGACACTACTAGTAGTTGGTTTCTCTATGTGCCAGACCAAAAGTAAGACACTTGTTCAGCTGTAAGGACCACCTCCAAGTTGAACTGTGAAAGGCAGTCAGGTATAGTGGTTATATTGTTTGGGTGGCCAAACCGACATTACTTTGGATCTACTTGAGATTGAAAAAGAAAGAAAGACATGATTGCTAGCTATGCCTTGCTTTCATTTTTACTCTAGAGTGGACACAAGGGGTCTCATTCTGATTGAGCTCAAAGTGGGTGAATGGAAAGGCTTAACTCTATATTAAGGTTGAATCTACTGTAAATTAAACACAAAAGAAATACATAACTGCTAAGTATGGCTTTAAAGCAGGGGTCCTCAAACTTTTTCAATAGGGGGCCAGTTGAAAGTCGGTGGCTACATGCGCGGACCATCGAGGTGGAGGTGCCTGGGTAGTGGGCCGGTGAGGCGTTGTCGGGTGTGTGCGAGGTGGCATTGGGTGCGCACAGCAGCGACTCGCTTGCTTGGAGATCCACCAGCGAGTTCAAAACCATCTCCAAGTGAGCAAGCCACCGGTGAACACGTGTGTGCGGGGGAGGTGGGCGACAGCGGCAGCTTGCTCTCTCGGAGATGGTTTTGAACTCCCTGGGAGATCTCCCAATGAGTCCAAAACCATCTCCGAGTGAGCAAGCCCCTGCTTCCAGCCCGTGCGGTGGTGTGGGCTGGATGAAAGGGCATGACAAGCTGGATCCGTCCCACGGGCCATAGTTTGAGGACCCATGCTTTAAAGCAATACTTATTTTGGTTCTTAGACTTGGGCTCAATGACTGTGTGATCCTGAAGCTGACAACTAATCTGCATCAATTAATTTATTAAAATTATTGCACCTCACATAGCATTTTTCTAAGTATGGTGACTGCTAAAAAAGCACTCTTGGCATTCATGATGGTGGCGATATTTCAGTGTTCCTAATGAGTTGGCTGGTGGTTAGGGAACTGAAAGTTCTTGCTGTAAGAATCTGAAAATGAATCAGAAATTGAATCGATCTGGTCGTGTGTGTGTTTTTTTTACTTGGCTTCTTATTTCTGAACCCGAAAATATGCTTCTGTTTTCTCTCTGCCAAAGATTAAAATAATACTAATACTAATAGAAGAGGAACAGAAACAAATAAAATCACAAGGACAAGAAGCTTCTCTTTTGAATCAATGAAACTTGAGATCCCTAAGAGATTTTTCAAGCCATACAGAGTCACTTTGGAATGTATGATTATGAAAAAAGTATCTACAGTGAGCTAATATTTGCCTTCTCTGTTGCATTTTAGCTTTTAAACAATGGAATGATGTTCCATGTAAGAAACGAAATGCCTACATTTGCAAGCACTTCCTCTAGAGGGGGCTCTAACTTCCAACCTGCTGGGATGCAACAACACCTAACAGATCGATGGATGTCTCTTTGATGCCATTTCCTTTGGTAACCTCCCAAGCAAAGAATCAACTCCCATTCACACTCTTCACGAACCATTTCTGAAGAGCTGTCCTTGGGGTCTCTCTCATCTTCTAATCCATGTTTATGGCTGCAAGAAAGTGACATTTTAATAAACTCCGTCTGATATATGGACTTCCTGGTGTTTTTCTATTTTTCTAGGACAGGGATAGCAAAACATTTGGACGGGTGGGTACATTTGGAATTTGAGTGCAGCACCACAATTTTTAAAATTATTAGTATTAGCAGTACAATAAATTTATATCTGGCCCTCGTTCCTCTTGTGACAAATCGAAGATGAGTTACAGAAGTCTCCTCCACTCCATTTTTATCTTTACAACAATAACCCTGTGAGAGGGTAGGGCCAGGAGTTGGCATGTGTCCCAAAGTCACCCAGTGGGCTTCATGGCTGAGTAGGGACTAGAACCAGACCTCCCAAGTCCCCAGTCCAACACAATAGGCAAAAATGTTTGTATCTATTGGATTCTGCAATGTATTTTGAATAAAGAATTGCCTAATTCAGCTCATTGCTGGTGGTACAACTCATGTTCCTTTTTAACATACATTTTGGCACTGCCCAATGAGTGCTTCCCTTTGGAAGGAGGTTATTATACAGATAAAATTTGTATAGGGAAGTATTTCTGTGAACTTACAATAAATCTTAATCTTGTATTATGTAATGGACATGGACTAGGGTAGTGAAGGTGAAACTTTTAGAGACTGAGTGGCCAAACTGCAACCCAAAACCCACTTATTTATCACAAAGTGCCAACACTGCAAACAAACCTGAATACTGAGGTTTTAATTTAGAATAAACAACTCACAGCCTGTCCAACCAAAAGTATATATATCCTTGGCAGCTCACTGACTGTCCACATGAAAGCTCAGATGAATTGCACCTAATAAGTTGTGGCTCATGACATCATCATCTGGTGCCACTACTCCTGTCCAAGCATGCGCATGGCCCCGATGTGCACTGTTATCCAACGCTCAGCTGTTGGGTGATGCTGGGCCGACTTGGCTTGCGTGCTGACAGAAACGCTATGTGTGACCGCTGTGGCATGATTGGCATAAGTTTGCTACCATTGGCCTGACCCTACGCTGGTGAACTCCCGCAACCCTAATAAAGCGGTAAAATGCAATAAAGCGATTTTGAAAAGAGGGTGATTTTGAAAAAGCCCTCCTTGCGTAGCTTTTTCTGCACAACTCATCATTTCTACCCATTCTAAACACATTCCAACCATCAAAATCATGCCAGGACTCCTCCTTTTTCTAACCCTAACCCTACCCTGGTGCACATCCTTAACCCTAATAGAGGGCTGAAGTTCCATTGCAAAGAGGGCAATTTTGAGAAAGCCTTCCTTGAGTAGCTTTTTCTGCACAGCTCATCATTTTTGCCCATTCTAAACACATTCCAACCATCAAAATCATGCCTAGACACCTCGTTTTTCTAACCCTAACCCTACCCTGGTGCACATGCCTAACCCTAATATAGGGCTAAAGTTCCATTGAAAAGAGGGCGATTTTGAAAAAACCCCTCCTTGGGTAGCTTTTTCTGCACAGCTCATCATTTCTACCCATTCTAAACACATTCCAACCATCAAAATCATGCCAGGACTCCTCCTTTTTCTAACCCTAACCCTACCCTGGTGCACATCCTTAACCCTAATAGAGGGCTGAAGTTCCATTGCAAAGAGGGCAATTTTGAGAAAGCCTTCCTTGAGTAGCTTTTTCTGCACAGCTCATCATTTCTGCCCATTCTAAACACATTCCAACCATCAAAATCATGCCTAGACACCTCGTTTTTCTAATCCTAACCCTACCCTGGTGCACATCCTTAACCCTAATAGAGGGCTGAAGTTCCATTGCAAAGAGGGCAATTTTGAGAAAGCCTTCCTTGAGTAGCTTTTTCTGCACAACTCATCATTTCTGCCCATTCTAAACACATTCCAACCATCAAAATCATGCCAGGACACCTCGTTTTTCTAACCCTAACCCTACCCTGGTGCATACCCCTAACCCTAATATAGGGCTGAAGTTCCATTGCAAAGAAGTTCCCTTGCAATTTTGAGAACAAGATCTTGGTCTCTTCCAAATTAGTAACATTAAATGAGGAAATTCTATCAGAAACAAGTTGAAGATAAAAGCCTTGCCAGTAAATTCTAATAAGACACAGGTTGCTATGTTTGGGAAATATCCTGAAAGCATCTTTGGCTTTTGGATGTAAATGCTATAAAACAAATAAAACATTTAAATGTTTGGGACTGGTCTGCACAGAAAGACCAGTCTTTCTCTTGGCATATAAAATCACCAAATAGTAAATTGCAAGCCTTTTGAACAGCCAAAGCCATTCTGAAATGTGCTGCATCTTAAGGTGGAAACTTGGTAAACCTAGTTCTAGCTGTTTATAAAGGCAAAATAGTGGCTCAAACTCTATGTGGGGCATAGGTTTGGAGTTCCTGAAAGGTTTTGGGTTTGGAACCCACCATTTCTTTAGTGTCTTGATAGTTTTATCCAAAGACATGTTATCTACTCTGGTTAGGTTAAAGACCAGTCTGCTGAGTATGGAGAGTCAAATAGAATAATTTTATGCTACTGATTTAAGGTGCAACAAATGGATGGCAGATTTCCTAAAAAACGTTTGATTGAGCTGGCCAGGTGGTTGCCTATTAAGAACTGGGTCCATCGTGCTTCTCAGCTTCTAGTTAAATATGGTCACTTGCCGATTGTGGTTAAGAACCTCTCATTATTAATATTATTAGTATTAATCATTATTAATACATCATTATTAAGTATTGTAAATGACCTATATAGGAGGCTGTTACTAAAAAGACAAATTCTGCTTCTATGTCCACATATGCACCATAAAATGTTAAATTTAAAAAGGTTCATGAACATGTGGAATCTTTTTCCAAATTTATGGAACATGAACAAGTGACATATAAATACTACCTTCAAAGAGATACTTATTAGGCTCTTTGGTCTGCTTGTGTTGATGCCTATGTGGAATTGCTAGAAGTTTTATGTATGTCATATAAATTCTTCCCCCTCTTTTTATTTTTTTTTAAATCAGAAAAAATAACATAAATACAATACATCACAGCAATGATAATATAGCAAAAACACAATAATTAAAAATAAATGATAAAGTGCCCCCACCACCCCGGAGACCAATGCTACCACCACTTAATTCACATATTATAACAATTAATAATATTTAATATACTTCAATTGCACTTTAAATTCTTTTCTATATATTTTTGGCTTTCTTTCAAATCTATTTTATTTCCCTTATATAATTTGTCAAAAAACCTTTGAAAAATTAAAAGGTTTTCTTTCACCTTATTACATCTTTCCCCTTTTTTGTTCTTTATTACTCCAATTAATTTTTTTTGCTTTTTTGACTTTATGTCATACATATTTTTGAACATATATTTAAAATGGGAAAATTAATTTTTTTAAAAGAAGAAGATTGGGTATTTGTGGGCACCAGGCTGGAGATCTCTGTTCTAAGAAGTTCTCACTCCATTGCATTTCCCTCTCACATGGACAAATAAGGAGAAGACCAAAGCTTGTTCTACACCTTTAACTTAGGTAGAAAAGGGAGAATTTGACAAGACACACTCCTCCAAGTTCTCTCTTTTTTCATAACTGTTAAAGGCAAAGGAGGCCTAACTTATTTTGAAACTGGGGGCCATTCTAAATTTCTCAAAGTATCTTTCAAAAGAGTCAATTCACTGCACAAGAATTGCTGAATTTCTTGTATAGTACAAGAAATGCACCTGTGGGCAAAGGCCAGGCATGTAAAGTGAAACTGCTGCCAAAGAGTTTTTGAACTGGTTGGGTGCTGTTCCTTCCTTTTCCTTGAAAATTTATATAGAGCCACCTATTGTAATGCAAATGGTTTTGTGGAATTTGGTCTTGAATGGGCTGTGAAGACCTACGTATTAGTTCTAGAAAAGAGCTGCTTCTAGTGGAAATTAGAACTGCTAGAACTGTTCCTTTGGCCTGGATCAACACAACAGCTCAAGTTCTGGCTTTCCTTGGGGGCACAGATATGGAGACTGACAAGATAATAAGCATTTGCATTTCAGAATGTACTGCAGCAACCCTGTTCACAGCTACAGTGCAGGTGGGCAGCATAAACGGCAAGTGACAGGGAGGCCAAGCATATGGGGACCGTCTGGGGCATGCTGGCAGTTGTACAGCTTGTTCAGTCTAAATGTACATAGGACTGTGCCCTTAGAGAGCTTATGGCAATTAGCAGATGCAAAGGGAGACATGTTGCTTTCATGATGTATTTAATGTATTTTGTATTCGATGTTGTAAGCCGCCCCGAGGCCTTGGCAAGGGGCGGCATAGAAATGTTTTAATAAATAAATAAAATAAATAAAAAATGATTGCGAACAGCAGGGAATTTAGGCAGGAACTGCTTCTTCTGCAGGGCTGAGTGAAGCTGCATCTAGTGACATCTTCTGTCCTGCACAATTTCTGAAGGGACCAAAGAAGATGCTGACTGTTCTCATTTGAATTCAGTAACCTTGAATATGTGGATGAGAATGAACACACCAGGAAATAATATGCATTAAAACAAGTTTATTAAGGTTATACTGTATTACAGTGTAAGAAAGCTTCAGAGAAAGAGAAAGGGCCTTTAGGTAATTCTTTGGAGATGGCATTCTGAAGGGGATGGAACACAGCTGGACCGTCACTTTGTTTGATGAGAAAGATGGTAATGACATGAGAAGGGGTGAAAAGGCATCCACCAAAGCTCAGTCTTCTCTAGAGTTTGTGCTTGCAGATGTAGGCATTGCGCTTCTTGCACTGATTATCATTCCACTGTATAAAACCTAAAATGAAAAGACATGCCAACCATGAGATCTTCTTCATTTCCCTTTTCTATTGGCCAGATGGGCACGGTGTACAGCAAAACATGGTAGACATTTGGAAGCACGTAAAAACAAGGAGCAATCCAGATTTAATTCTGTTTTCTGATCCTGTGCTCCTTTCATCCCTTTCATCAAGACTTTTCCCCAGTAATCCATATCTGGGCCTTACAATTTCACACAGAAAATGAAGTGCGGGACTCAAAGAATTGTTTGGAAACCAGAAGAATACGGTGATTGTGATGGACATTAATTCACCCTGTGGCTATGTGCTCTAGCTCCTGGTATATCTTGGAGGTGGCCTCACAGCTCAAGGAGGCCACTGCTAGACTGGTACACAGCGTAACTGGCATATGGACTTGGCTAAGTCTAGATAGCATACTAAAAAGCAGAGACAACACCCTGCCGACAAAAGTGCGTATAGTCAAGGCTATGGTTTTCCCAGTTGCAATGTATGGCTGTGAAAGCTGGACCATAAGGAAGGCTGAGTGCAAAAGGATTGAGGCCTTTGTATTGTGGTGCTGGAAGAGACTCCTGTGAGTCCCTTGGACCACAAGGCGATCCAACCGGTCTGTCCTAGAGGAGATCAACCCTGACTGCTCTTTAGAAGGCCAGATCCTGAAGATGAAACTCAAATACTTTGGCCACCTAATGAGAAGGAAGGACTCCCTGGGGAAGAGCCTGATGCTGGGAACAATTGACGGGAAAAGAAGAAGGGGACGGCAGAGGATGAGGTGGCTAGATGGGGTCACTGAAGCAGTTGGTGTGAGCTTGGGTGGACTCTGAGGGATGGTAGAAGACAGGAAGGCCTGGAGGAACGTTGTCCATGGGGTTGCGATGGGTCAGACATGACTTCGCAACTAACAACAACAAGACAAGTTGAAAGCTCATGGAGAACTAGGTGTCCCTAAGATACGTTTGTCCTTCCTTGGTCCCTGAGAAAAGGCTTGCTTACCTGTGGAAAGTCGAAGCTCTACACAGTGCTCATCATTGCGATAGTTGTCTGGCTGGTGGACCATCCAGGATTTGTAGTTGTACACAGATTCATCAGCCCACCTCCATTTCCTGGTCTGTGGAAATGAGATAGAAAAGAGCATGTGGAGAAAGAAATGAGGACTCCAATGAAGTGATCATTTGAGGGTGGAGAAGTATTGGAAGACACCAGTTTATAATAAGAAAAGAGTCTACATATCTGTATATATAGATATCTGTATATACAGATGCATGAACTATGCACAGAAAATGGAATTCGGGGCTTAGTGTCTTGTGGCCATCACTATTTCCAGAAAGTTTTACAGGTGCTTAATTATTGAGGTGATATTTTATTTTATATTGTTAACTAGTTTATATTTTATTGTATTATATTTTAATTGATATCTTTGTGAGCCGTCCCGAGGCTTCGGCGAATGGGGCGGCATAGAAATTTTCTAAATAAAATAAATAAATAAAGAGCCACCTGACATTGAACACAGGCAGAATGAACCAGGAATGGAACAAGGTAGAGAGTCGCACCTGACGGACATCATGGAGCCCAATCCAGACGTTACTCCGTTCTCGCTGGTAGGTGGAGATGTGCTCAGCCACCAGAAGAGTCTCCGCCTTGGTGAGGATAGAGGAGAGGTGGGCCCCACGGCCGTAGCTCTGGCACTCAATCTGAGGAAGGACAGAAGCAAAGGCTTTTTTCAAGGAAACAATCAAAGACCAAGAAGATTAAAAAACCAGATAAAATAGCAGGAATTAAAAATTAAAGCACAGTTGAAACAAATGCAATTCACTTACACTGGTGATCACATGCTTCCTACATGTCAGTGTCAATTTAATTACATGAAAGTCTGTTTTTACATGTTTCAAAATTTAGGAGAATTTTTATTAGAACTGTTTAAAAAGTTTCAAATTAAGAGAATATACATTTGAGTGTTTGCAAGGATGCTTAAGATTTAGGAATTGCATTGGGAATTTCCAACTGGAGCTCTGTAACTTAGTTGAGCAGCATGCCCACCAAATGGCCTCATGGCCTTCCCAGCTCTTGCAACTTCCATCTCACCCATTGCATCTCAGTGGGACTGGGGAGAACGGCTTCTTACCTCAGCCTCTTGCCATGTCAACTTATTATCGAAATATGCATAGCAGTTGCCCTGGTTTTGCAGCCATTCCCTGGCACAGGTGTCAGCCTCCGCTGCATAGAGAAGGAGCATGAGGAAAATTAATATGAGAGAGAGAGAGAGAGAGAGAGAGAGAGAGAGAGAGAGAGAGAGAGAGGACAGAATGGAAAGGTGACTTTTTATTTACGTTGCTCGAGATCCCACATTACTCCTGCAGGTTGGATTCAAGTCCTGCACATTATTTTAAGACCAATTAATATAGGCTTAGTTAAATGAACCTACTGTTGTTTAAGAAATAATAACCTTAGCAGGGTCACCATCCCTTGAACATCTAACAGGTGCTTCTGTATGGAATTTATTCGGTCCTGTAGAAGATTTCTGGGTGATTCTCACTTCCAGTGTCTTTTTAAAAGACTGGATGGTATATGGAGACAATTATTCAGGCAAGCTCTTTTACTGATTGTGTATATAACTGTGGATATTTAAGATTCTCACCTCCAAGGAAAGGATTAGCAAGCAGGATTCCAAGAAGGCAAAGGGAGAAATAGGTGAGGAGTCCCATCTTTTGGTTGACCTTTGAGGAAGAAATGTTCACTCAATTCAAGACATACATCCACTTATTGACATTCATGTAATTTAGGGAAGAAAAGAAGGAAATCTTGTGCTTTTCCTCTTACAATCTTACCTTCAAAGGACTGGGAAGTTTAGAGAAAGAAAAGAGGCTCTGAAGTTTAAATTCCCAGTGGTGTAATCATGCTAGTCTATCACAGCAAAGATAATAAAGTGTTTTGTGGCATTTTAAGACTGATCAATTTAATATGGTATAAATTTCATGGACTAGACAATCTAGTCCATTAAAATTTATTCCATAATGAATGTGTTACACGTTAAGGTGCCACAAAACTGGCTGAAATGTGTACCTTGTTAGTGTTGTGGAAGTTTGAGACTTCCAAGGATATATTGGCCATAGATTCTCCTGACTTTATTCATTCTAAAGCTGATCCATTGAAAGCAATGGAACTTTATTGTATTAATGCATTTACAGCCCATTGATCTCAAGGATATTCTTTTAAGTATGCCCATCAGGATCCAGCTCATTTTATTCCAACTGAGCACCATCTACTCCAGTTGCTTCAAGCCCTTCCTCTCAGGTGGGATTTACAGCAATTTCATCCTGTGAAATAGCGAGCTTCTTCTGAGTATGAATTGGAAGGGAAATGCACCTCTCCATTGTATATTTATGTTTAAAGCAATCTTGTTCATTGCAGTAAGTAGGGAAGGAGCTCCTGTATGGTCCATGTTGCATATCGTTTGGACTCAAATATCAGCAAGATCCTTGTGATTACACCCAAGCAACATCTCCAGCCAAACTCAGCTCCCTGCCATGCAGATCCGTATGACAGAAACACATTCAACTTTTTCCCTGTCACATTCTAAAACCACATATTAAGAGGACCTCAAGTTGATTGTTTTCCACTGCACTTATTAACCGGGGGTCAAACAACTTGCCAACAGATCAAGCAATAGAAAATTGTCATTCCTTATAACCTATTTTACCCTCTCTGCCAAATCAGTGAAAAGCTTGTTAAATAATAGGGTTATAAATCCTTGTTTCCCTTTCTTTAATTTCTTCCTGTTGCATTTTCCACAAGTCCCCATCCACAAACCCATCACCTTATCTCAAAGCCTCTGAAGCATCGTATTCTGCACATAAAGGAGCCTGCAGGAGCTTTTGAATCAAGACTTTGGACACATCGTTTCTGTCACTCACCTTGCGATGCTGTTTCCCTGGGTGGACAGGTGTGTTGGACAGCTGAGCCAGAAGCTTCTCGGATGGTTTCTTCTTCTCTGGACATCTGTTATATAGACCATGAGCAAGAATGAAGCAATACCAAATGAGCAAAATGCTTCAAGGATATCCTGGTCTAAACATCTTCAGTTTTGCATAATCTAAAGCAAAATTGGTGGAAAGCAGCTTGCAAAAACAGCCAGTGGCATTTCAGAAAGGGCATGCTTTGCCGTATGATATCTAGGTGGGGAAACACATGATGAAAAAGTAGCTGAAATCTCTATATCCGTAGCCTTAAGAGATGGGGAGGACCTTGGGGAAGCATCATGGAGTAGCAACCATTAGAATGCCTTCTCATTTTTCTTATTTCATTGGCCTTACATTCCAGGGAATGGCTTGATCCAAGCCTGGGGTTCCCCATCCTTCAAGATCCAGATTCTTTGAATTTTCGAATAACCAGTGGTATAGAGTGAAATGGAGTACTCTCCAAAGTGAGGGTGTAGTTGCTAAATATGGAAAGAGTCCAGTTTTCACAGTGTTAGCAGGAGATCTTTTTGTGGTGTCCCATGGCCTGTAGACAACAACTCTCCCTCTCCCTCTCCCCCCACCTCTCTGTGTGAGAGAGTGAGAGGAGTCTAAGATAATTCAGAACCCAGTTTATGAATTTTGGATGCCTGAACAGGGCTTATGTGAGAGCTTTATTGGGGCCAATGTTTTATTGAACTAGTGGTCAGCCTTCTAAAGCTATAACCTGTCATTTGCTCCATCCTTGCCTTTCTCTTGGGAAATCTAATTCCACTAGTGCCAGTTCACACTGCAATCCTGTAGGAGTCTCTGAAGCAAATCTGAGCCAGTGACTGGGTTCAGATAGCACAAGAACCCATGCTCAAAGATTGAGTATGGGTTGAGTGTGGGCTGTTGTTGGATTGTGGGTTGTTTCTGAACTGTGGACTATCATGTTCTTTGAACTGAGCTATGCTAACAAACCCATGCTTTTTAATCATAAGTCTCCTTAAACCCATGATGGAAATGCATGGTTCGTTGATAGTGGTCAATTGTGGGTTGTTCACAGTGAACAAACCAAGGGTTGTTGATGTGGCAGGGTTCAGGCTACATGATAACCAGTGTTTCACCAACCACTCATGGTTCCACCCATACTCAATCTGCATGTGTGGTTGACTCATCTGAATTCAACCCATGTTTCCAGATGTTCTCTTGATGTCCAGGTTATCTCAGGACTGAGCTGCCATTGAGTCCAGCTGGTGAACTGGTGTCTTCAAAAGCAACTAGTTCATGAGAGCAACATCCATAAAGGGAAGCAGCCCATGTTAAAGATGCTTTCTTGGCAACAACCAGAAAAGCATCTTCAGGGCTGCCACATTTATCATAGCAGAAGGTGTTTTTTTATGGCCAGAGCGTGTTTCATCAAATCCTTATGCCAAAATTAATCTGTTCATGTTGATAAGATGTTGTGAGACTTTACATTGATTTGGTAAGACTATCGCATTCCAGACCTTCATATGCTTCTGTAGATCCATCATACTTATTGTGTAGCTGGCCAAGTGACCAAGGACTTCTTCTTGAATCTCTTGAACAGCAGTGGTTGAGGCATGGTCCTGCTAATGATGCAGATTAACCACATTACTGGGATGCATGGCCTTTATATCACTTTATATTTATTTTTATTATCATCTACCTTTTTTCTCTATGGAACCCACAATAGATTACAGAATCCCCTTCTACCTTTCCATTTTATCAGCACAAGAACCCTGTGAGGTATATTAGGCTGAGAGTCAGTGAATGGCCTGAACTCACCCAGTGAATGCATGGCCAATATCTAGAACCCGGATCTCTTGAGTCCAAATCCAACACCCTAACCACTATACCATACTGGCCTTCTGGCTTTAATTATCAGAATCTATCCTTCAAAGCCTCTTTAATAAGATAACTTAGTTTACTGTGCCTCTGAATGCCTCTTCCACAAGTTTCCTTCTAAAGAGTAGAACTTATTTATTAGATCTATATCCCACCTTATTTCCTTTTTAAGAACTCAAAGCAGTTTACATCATTCTCTTCCTCCTGCTCTTGATCTTATCCTCACAACTACCCTGTTGTTTAATTTGTTGTATGCTGCTTACAGTCCTGCTGGACAATTGTAGCACTTAAATTTAAAAATAAATAACTAAGTAAAACTCTGGGAGGTAGATTGGGTTGAGAGGCTGTGACTGGTCCAAAGTCAACCAGTTGGCTGCATGGATGAGCTGGGACTAGAACCAAGGTCACCTAAGTCCCAGACCTCTGTTCTTAACTACTGTACCACACTGGCTCTCCAAACTTCCTTGTCTCTTGCATCTCATCCTTTAGGACATTTCCACAGTACTACAGGCCAGACATTGCTACGGGCACAAGCATCCGTACAGGAGAACTGCCCCATGAGGAACTCAAATTTCACAAAAATGTCATCCAAAGGCCATATCAAGCCCTGAGCAATGGTCTGTGAAAGCGCTGTCTTTTAGCAGGGTTGAGCGGACTCCCCGAGGCCTGTCTTTCTTCAAAGAAAGAGCTTAAGCAGGGAAAAGCTATTCAATTCAAGAAGAATATGGGCATTTATAATGGTCTTTTGACAGCTCAGCCTTTCAAAAGCCCAACTTGCTACAGCTCAGTTGCATTTGCCTTGATTTATGTGTGATAGTGCAAGAGCAGCAAACTCAGATATGAACCCACGAGTGTGATAATGGCAGTCAGAGCTGATTTCCAGAGAGGGTGAGGAGCTCACTGCATCTGTCTTCTGCAAAATGGGTCATGTGGCAGCCCTCCAGACGAACATATTCAGGATGGGAGGAGAAGCATCTTTGGTGGATTCAAGCAAGCATCCATACCCCATTGTCCTTAATGATAAAGGAACTCCTTCGAGGTGTCCTTCCCTGAACAGATTGTTGGTCTGCAGTTTCAATCCTGTTCATGGATGAAAGGAAAAGGTGAAGGCTACACTCTGTGAGCTAAGGACATGTTTCTAAGTGACCTTTGATGAGTCGTTTTGGCTAAGTTGCCAATGGAACTGTGATAAACATCAAGGCCTCTGCTGGCTGGGACAACTGTGGTGCAACGTTGCCAGCGGCAAATCAAGACATTTCCTTGAACCTCTTGCCCCGAAAGTTTCATCATGTCTGTCTGGTCTATATTACGGCCATGGATGGACCCGGAGCTCATCACAGAGCCCACCAAATTCAGCAAACAGCCTCAGACCATCTTCCAAGGAAAGAGAACCAGCAGAAAGACTCAGATGACCAGGTAATCTTTGGCCAGGTGTTGCTTAAGAGTAGGGATGGATAAACCTGTCAATTTCAGTTTCTCTCATTGTCTCATTTTCCCTGTCTTTAAGTTCAGCTCATCCCCAACTTTGAGAAGCTTTCCAGACTGTTTAAATTCATATTAATCATTTTAAACAAAAAGTTTCACACACTAAAATCATACACATTTTGGGTGCATATCTTCTAATCCATGCATTTTTGCATGGATTTTCTCTAATAGGCAGAAGGCTTGCACTTTGAATGTTATTTTCATGGATATGTGCATTTATTTATTTAAAGTTTTTATATGTAAGCCGTCCTGAGGCCTTCGCGACAGGACAGCATATAAATAAATAATGCCCTGAATGGCTTACAACAAACAAAAATCCAAAAAACAACTTTTGGAATTTCTGTGTACACTTCCTTCTCATATCCACATTTTTGTACACATATGGTACATTGCGAAATTTGGTGGAGTGTGAATTTCGAGAGATAACTGAGATGCATTTCACATATTAGCCTGAACGTACAAAATTAGGAATATTGGCATTCAATGCAAAATTCAGCTGAGGTACCACCACTGAGAAGGCCCTTCTTGTTGTAACAGCACTCCTCACTTCCTTCAAGGAGGGCTCTCGGAGAAGTTGCTTTAGAGACGATCTTAAGGACTGGGCAGGTATAAGTGGAAGGAGGCATCCCTTTAGATACCCAGGCCCTAAACCATTTAGGATGTTACATGGCATTGTCAACACCTTAAATTGGATCTGGCCTTCAATTGGTAGCCAGTGCAGATAGTACAGGACTGGTGTTATGTGGTCACGTCTGCCAGACCCTGTCAGTAACCTAGCTGCTCTATTTTGTACCAACTGAACTATCCAGATCGTATTCAAGTGTAGCCCCACGTAAAGTACATTGCAATAGTCCAAACAGGAGGTTGCTCTGCCTATCCAGGGAGGGATGCAACTGATGGACCAGCTTCAGCTGATGGAAGGCATTCCTTGCCACAGAAGCCACCTGGAATTCCATGGAAAACTCCCAAGGAATACTTGAGGAATACCCCCAAGCTACACACCCTGTCCCTTGAGGGGAGCGCCCTTCAGAAAAGGGCTGGTCTCACTTATCTGAATCAACAATCCACCCACCAGTGCTAAGCTCTGAGGCTGGGAAATCCTGGGAAATCATCAGGTCTAGTGGCTTTCCCTGAAATGTTTCAGGCCCAGAAAAAAGTATGATTGTGTGATTTTGGCCCATGTGGTTGGTAGGAAGTACGAGACTTCTGGATTGGCTGGTTGTGGTTTAAGTAGTAAGAGCTTGGTGTTTTTCCTTTTTCTGGCCAACAGAGCAGGTCTTTCCCCACCTGGTGTCCTTCAAGTCCCAGCAGCTGATCACAGGGACCCCAGGTTAGAGAAGTCATGCTGTAGGTTTGATGTTGGTTATGAATGCCTGTGGAGTCAGGCTCATTCTGACATGCAGCCTGGTGATTCTCATTGCAAATTTGTGTGTTTTCAGGTGACCCAAGAAAATGAGGTCTTTTGCTTATCAAAGTGCCTTCCTTGCTTTCTTCCTTGCTTCAAGCTCCTTAGAGGGAGGTGAGTTTCCCTTGAGCTTCTTGGCAGTGTTGAAATAAGGAATTGGGAAAGATGCTGAGATGTGGTCTGAGAGGAGTTGTGGGGTAATTAATATGATGGGCACAGCTATTGGACTCCAGTGCTAAAAGAAGAACATAGCCATAGTTGGCATTTCATGAGAGCATCGGCCTCTCCTGTGGACTTCAGTCTGTCCCTGCCCATCCTGATTTTAACCAGGTGCCTCTTGATGCCTGTGATTTGGAAAGGAAGCTTCTCTCTGTCCATGTCTCACTCTTCCATCCTTTCTGTTTTTCTGTCTCCCCCATTGAGCAGTGAATGCCAACTCCTGTGCCAGAAAATGGCTGCAATACCAGGGCAACTGCTATGGATATTTTGAGATGAAGTTGACCTGGCAAGAAGCTGAGGTAAGAGGCTAGTCCTCATGAATATTTCCCCATCACAGCCAACAGTGGGGCATAGCTCCCAACTTAGGAAAGTCCAGAAGAGCAACCAGGTCTTTTGTGTCTCTCTTCTCTCCACCTAGTGAGGACTTGTGGCAGAGAGAGAGGAACAGCTTATGAAGCTGCCTCTGCCGGGTGCTCAGAAGCTTCCCAGGACCAGATGGAATCCTCCTGACCCCTTGTGTTGATCTGGTAGTCACCATGCCACCTTCTGCCTCCCTACAGAGGTGACACCACTGCAGCTCCCACTTCCGGCTTGCTGTCCTGGTGTCAAAAGCACGGACCTGCCAAGGTCCCTGAGCTGAGACCCCTCCTCCTTCGAGATGCTGAGTGGCCACTCAAGCATAGCCAAGGAAGAGGAAACACATCCTCAAGAAGGAGGGCTGAAGAGGACATCGATTTGCATTAGAAGTTAATTCATAGGGTATAGTTTGAATGAGCAATAAAATTGGATTAGAAATGCAAGACAGGGGAAGCATAGTGGGGAAGACCTGGGATCAAGGCATCAGGTTGCCTCCTCAGTCTGCCACCCAGGCACACATTGTTCCTGCTTCAAGGTTTTCCTTTGATGTCCCTTCTTATAATTATTTAGCAGCGTAAACTGTACTAGGACTGGGCAGCCCTTCAAACAGAGGACTTTCCTTTGACAGCTCTTCATATACCAAAATTCTCTTCTCTAGAGCAGAGTACCTGATCACTTTATAAGACTAAGAATAATTCTCAAGCCAGTGAAGGGTAGAGTATTTTGCTAGTAACTACTAGCACTACTAGTAGTGATTCCATTACTTATACATGACTTTAGAGTTTTCAAAATATGATACTTCAGCTGTGCTCACAACACCCCTGGAAGGACTGTCAGCATGGTTCATATCTCAGATGATGATGATGATGATGATGATGATTTTCATTTCTCTACCTCCCCATAGCTGAAGTTCTTTGGATGGCGGTGGAGGAGCTCGATAAAGGAAGGCAAATATTCAAAGGCAATCTTGAAAAGCTAAGGGACTAGGAAGCCCCAATAACTTCCTAGTTTCCAGCTGTCTCTCCACCTTGAGTCCCTGGCAGTATCCGAGGAAGGGAGCTGCTGAATTTTAAACACCCCTTTATTATTTCCCTTGCCCAGATTGAGTGTCAGAGCTACCACCGTGGGGCCCACCTCGTTTCTCTTCTCACCCCCGCCGAGACCCTTGTTGTTGCTGACCACATCTCTGCTTACCAGACCGAAGTCAGTGATGTCTGGATCAGGCTGCATGATATCCGGCATGTAAGTATCCCCCAAACCTCTCTAGAATCTCTCCTGTATGCAGCGCTTGGGACACCCACATATCAAGGGGAAATCTAGTACACATACTGCAGAGTCCTCACATTGGCATTCACTCTGTCTCCAGGTTTTAATTGTAGTGACTTTGCAGAAATGTGTGAAAGCAGTTAGAAGAGTTCTCGAGCAAAGTAGGGCTTAATTTAAATGGTGTTTGCTCAGGGTGCAAAAGCCAACCCTTGGCAGCTGTGGGCAAGGGTGACGCCTAGAAGAGAATCATGCGAATCAAGCAGTTGGAGGGGCCTGGCTGGTCATTGGGTCCAACCCCTTGCTCAGTGCAGGACTCCAGTCTCCCATCCAAATACTAACCAGGACTCACCTTGCTTAGCTTCCAAGATTAAGCAGAATCAGGCACTCCAGGTTATATGGAAGGTAAGGGGTAATGCCACACCTCCTCAAACTAAGTGCTCTCTGCTGGAGAACCACCCTGGTGCTCAAATGGAAATGATGGGCCAAGTGGCTGCTCTGATCAGCATCCCCCCCAATTCCTCCAGTTCCTGGTGTAGCTATGGCAGAAAATGGCATTCCTTGATGTGATTGCTGACATTTCCACACAGAAGACAAAGTCAAGGGGTTGCTTTTCAGTCCATCTTAGAGGTCAATGTGGACTGCAGCAGCAATTGTGACTATAATGCCACCCAGTTCATTGACGGCTGTAGACATGAGATCTACACAAGTTGTTGTCCAATTTCTAGCCCATCTTGTATGCCTCGTGGCCCCTTCTGTCTTTGGTGGGAAGCAAAACAAGGTTTATCAAGGGCTGGCCTTAGTGGGCCATCATTATATAGCTGATGGGCCAAATTTGCTTTGATCTTTTGTGGATTGCACAGATCTAGTGTGAAGGCCATCATCAGAGTGAGGCAACAGAGAACCTGTGGGTCCAAAGTCACACCATCCTGTGATATTTCACCTGGGCATTTCTTACTTAATCCTACAGAATGGGAAATGGAGGTGGTCAGATGAGTCGACCTACAACTACAAAGCTTGGATGGTGGGGGCACCCAGTAACCCTAAAAAAAAGGAGTACTGTGTTGAGCTGAGGCATTCTGTGAGCCTGGCAAATGCCTCTGCTGATGGCCTCCTTGAACAACTGCTAATAAGAGCCCACAGGGGCAAAGTGCTGAACACCAAATGCCTTTCAGAGGAAAGAGTCCGCAGCCAACCTGCAGGTAAGGAGTCTCCCACTTCCAGAAGGATGACTTTCCTATTCAGTTACAGATCTGCTCGGCTCCAGCCATATGTAGAAAAGAAATGTGGATTCTGATGTCCCAATTAAAATGGCAGGAGATGTGGTCCAGGGCTATTCCATATACTACCTGAGTACACCTGTCTGTGGTATTGTGGTAAATATGGAAGCTCAGGGCTCATTGTAGCAGTCCCTAGCACCATGCCTCCAAGATGACTCCAAAAACTCAGGCCGCTGTGTTGGTCCACTTCTTTCTCTCTCTGTGAAATATATCTTTTGCTAAGCTAATGGGCTTAGTTACCCATCCCAGACCAGGCTCTCCCAAAATATCTTGCATTACTGTAGGGATAGCTCATAGGACTATGTTGTTGCTAGAAATTTCCCTTCCTCACCCCAGGATATTGCAAGGTTTTCAGGGAAGTTCAGAGGAAACAGGGGTCTCATGGTGGTAGAATATGTCCTGGACCTTGGTCATCAAAAAGTCCATGTGCTTCCACCCTGTGGGCCCTGCTGCCACTATGTCACCAGTGCCATAATCTACAGACAAAAATGAAAGGAATGTAGGTGGCAGAATACTATTTGTTTCTGAAGCTGTGAAGCTCTATTTTCAGCTCATCAAACCTTAATGTAATGCACATTAATGCAAGAAGATCTGCAAGCAAATCAGACCAAGTCTGTATTCACAACCTACTGATGCTGATTCTGGGTTTCCTGCTTCATGCATTCAAAAGCCAGAGACATTTTTCCTTGCAAAGAGTTCTTTATTCACCAAAAATCACAAAACACCCTGAGGGAATCTCTGAGCATCCACTGAGTGGTTTGCTGAACCTATTTGAGTAATAGGTTCACCTCCAGGAACTCTCCTTATGAGCGTGCCTGCACACGGCACTTTGGGAGAGGCCTTCTGAAAGTGGGCACTCCTCCTCTCTGCATGCCGAACCTCTAATTGGGCCACCCTCCTCTGCTAACTCTGAGTCTTGGGTCAAGAGAGGGGGCTACCTCATCTTTGTCTGAGAAACTCCCCAGCTTCCAGCTCCCTCCCACCAACATTACATCTTAATTCCCAGAGATTGCTTGACCATGTGAGAAGTCTGGCTTTGAGATAAGCACCTCCACTTCTCTCATCTCGGTGTCTTGACTTGGCCCCCTTTCTCCTTCAGATTCTGGTTCCTCTGAAGCCAGAAGTCCTTGAGAATGACCCCCCCCCCAAAAAAAAAGCAGCCATCCTTCTCACTCCCAAGAATTTCAGTGTAAGGTTAAATCTGCCCTCTTTGCCCAGGCATTTAACACCCCTTAATTGTATTCTTTGCCATGATGGGCCATCCATGTCCATTGCGGTTAGTAAATAAATGGTCTTTAACCTTTGTGTATTGAAAATATAGGTGGCATTTTATCTGTGGTCAGTGTTTTTGTATATTGCCATGAACTGCCCAGAGCGCTTTGGCTATTGGGTGATATAGACATGGGATAAAATGAATTTTTTTTCTCCTTCAGCTGAGTAGGCAAAAACCCAATGGGGACCCCTGGTCAGCTTGCATTCTCTTTGTAGATTTCTGCAGGTGAAACCTATCTTTCATACTATGACGAGCTAAAATTTAGTTATTAAAAAGCTTAGCTATGTAGCATGCCATATTACCTACTGAATTCTACATTCTGAATTTACACAGTGAAACAGGAGTGCAATATGAACAACTCTAGGACTGCCTGGAGGGAATATGTTGCTGTCTTGGGTGTGGGAAAGGAGAGGAATCTATCGCTCGATGGTTGGACTTTTATTTTGTTTCATAGGATTCACACAGTGGAACGATGCCAAGTGCCACAAACTGAATGCCTACATCTGCAAGCATGAACTGTCAAGGGGCTGGTGATTTGACTGTGGCTGCAAGGTACATGTGATTCAGATGGCTCAAACTCCTGGTGGTGTTCCTGAATTCTTCAGTGCCTCCTGGTGGCTCACCCTTGCAATCGGATGCTCTTTTTGGGGCAACCATCACAGATCCCACTCAGCCCAAATGGCACCACCCTTTATGAAAAGAATCACACTGTAAATTATGTAGCAGTCTTTCTTTCCCAGGAAACTCTGGGATCTAAAATTCTGTGAGCAAGTCTGGTGATCTCTCCCCAGGAAAGAGTTCTCCATACCCTCATCAAACTGCAATGCCTAAGCTCCTTCAGGAGGCCAAGACAATCAAAGTGGCTTAGAACCTATGAAAGTGTGTAGTGTGGACATACTTTTGAAATTAAACCCTATGTTTTCTCAGCACCAACTGCAATGGTTTTAAGCATAAAAACTAAATGCTCACATTACCCTCCTTATGAGGATGAATTTTGGAGGGAGTAAATGGAGGGCTGCTTTATTTCATTTGGATCTTAAAAGACCACACATTATGATATACTATTTATTGATTTTGATAATACAGACCTAACACAGCCCATCTCAAAGGGATACTCAAGCTTAGGGCTTTTCTATACAAGGAATTTACTGTGTGCTTGTCATTTGCAACTCATGGAGTTTTACATGTTCTTTAGCCAATGATTCTTAGAGTTCTTTAGCCTTTCAAGTTTGCTTCTATGTCTTACTAGCACTTTTAGCAAGTTATTATTTAGAACAGGGAAAGTACAACATTAAACTATAAAGCTGAAAGAAAGCATGATTTCCTCATGTGTAATTGCATCATTCTGCCATACCACAGTGCCACCTAGAGGTTATCTAGCAGAAAAGCAAGAAAGAAACATTCCTCATGTTGTACTTGGATCTCAGTTGTGGGATGAAACAAAAAGTAGAACCAGTGGCTTAGCAGCCCAGCACAGAAAAACTCTTCCACTCTTGAAGAACAATGCAAGACAAAAGCACCAAAATCAGAGAGAGAATTGAAGCGGTCATTATTTGCTCTTAAAGCAACGAATGTTTCTCTCCCTTTGCTTAGATAGCATTCCTTGGTTATGCAGAAGGAACTAGAATCCCTATGCAATTACTATGGAATGCAAATGACAGCAATTGCAGATGCATCAATTCACAAACCCCCATTTGCTTGCTTTGATGTTGATTTACAAGAAGCCCAGACTTCTAGTGTCCAAAACTGTGCACTAATTGCTTTCTCAGCACAAGCACATGCTTTACTTTTCCACCAGGTCTGGCTGACTAGAAAATATTTAAAACCTGGACATCTTTTTAATCTTATTATTATTATTTCAATATATATAAATGTAAATTTATTTAAAATAGATTTTCTTTAAAATAAATAAATAAATTTATATATTATATTATAGTAATATTATATTTGATATAATAAAATATATTATTTTATTATTAAATACTTCCTCTACATTAGGCATGACTAGTTCTCACTGGGCTTTCTTTGAGGAGTGGGAGTTTCTCCTCGACCACTTTTCCTAAAAAATGTGGGAGGAAGAAAGACCAATGTAGCTTGGGTGCTTCACAGCTGACCTGCAAAGCATGTTTGCTTGAAGCTTCCCCCTGTGTCTGGTAGGTGGAAGGTCTGAAGCAGCCTTCCCCAACCTTGTTCCCTCCAGACACTTTTGGACTGCAGCATCCAGAATTCTCAGTCAAAGGCCTGCTGGATGGGAATTCTGGGAATTGTGGTCCAAGTGCCTCTGAAGGTCACCAGGTTGGGGAAGGCTGGTCTAAAGTGACTGGTTGTGCATTGAATGACAGTCATTCCTATAATGCTAACTTGCCACTAGATGGCAGCAGAAGAAAGGAATTCAACTCCACACAGGAAACTTGAAGGAATGTTGGAAACTTCTTCTCCCGCTTGGGCATCCCTTGTGCAAGAGGTGCAGGGATTCAGCCACGTTCCTGTGAGTGACAGCATTAAGCCAAACAATATTCGGAATCAGCCACATTAAGGATGTCTGCTGAGCTTATTCCAGAGGGCATCTTCTAACTCTCAGCCACTCAGCCATGTTTTATGTACAGGACTATTTCCCCTGCACGAAGAGCATGTTCAGTAAAATCACAGGAGTCAGGGTGAGGGTCCATGGTGCTCCTGTATTCCTAAACCGAGGAATTTTCAGCCTCTTTTGGGGGTGGATGGGAGACCTTCAAGAAGTGCCCATTCAAGCTGCAATCAGCTTTCTGAAAGGAGATTATGAGGACAGCTTGCATGGTTCTTTCCCTGTCAGCTTTTGAAGGGTCAGGGCAGATCTCTTTGATATAGGATATATAAACTACTCCACATCCAAAGAGTTCAGAGCCGTGTGTCAGCTGAAACCCCAAGTACAAACCCCAGTGGAAAAGGCTAGATCAACAAAAGGGTGGTTGGAATTTGATCATCAGGGAAGAATGCTTGCTGGAAAGAATTCTGTAAATAAAATAAATATGCTGGAAGGGGATTCTATAGGACAGGGGTTGGCACACTAACTGCCCTGTTTCTGGTGGCTTCCAAGCAGATCTTCAGTGCATTTGGGATTTCCTGGAGCACTTTCTGTGTTGTGGGGAATGCCATTTGTGGGACTCAGGAGTGTGAGCGTGGTTAGTGACGGATCCTTTGGACTCATCCGGCAGGTATTTTTCCATGCGGCCACTATCTGCTGGCACTGACACTGGAGGGAGAGGACTGGCATGAACCCTGCTCTGCCCAGTCATGTACTTGCTTGTGTGGACTTTGTGCATCCCTATGGCTGGTTGGGGAGTGGCTAATGCAACATGCAAATGATGCAGCCCAGTATTCCATTTCCATCACTGTTTATGCAGCTACTTTTGTGAAGATCACAAGCAAGGGCATTTCCTTATTATTTTTTATAGACAGGTTTCTCTTCCTTTTGCAAGAACCCACAGCAGCTGGCATGGTCCTTCTCCACTCTATTTCATCCTCGCAACAACCCTGCAAAGTAGGTTTAGCTGAGAGTCCGTGACTGACTCTCAGAGCTACTCAGTCAGCATCAGGGCCAAGCAGAGACCACAGCCTGGATCTCCCAAGTCCTGGCCCAGCACTGTAACCACTACACCACGCTGCACAAAAACATACGGACATTGTGATGAGACTGCAAGTTTTTTCTCTGTGTCATCAGGATTTTAATCACTTCAGCACATCACCAGCATTCAGACACACATGCTTTGCATTTGCAAGATTTTGCTTTATTGAGAGAACAGCATGCATTTCTATGTAAATACACAATTCCCGGATTTCTTTTCCTATTAGCTACCTGTGGGGAAAATAAAGGCCCCAAAGGAAAGAGGTCAAGAGTGTCCTTTCCCCATTAGAACCCCACACCCCCTCCTTTCAAAGCTAAAATTCCCAGGGCTCCTTAGAAAGAACACGTGACTGGGAAAGAAAGTGATGCAGCTCAGTAGCAGAGCTCAAAAGGCCAATACAGCTTTAAGCAAAATGGAGCTGAATCATTTCCAAAGTGCCTTATGGCAGAAGTTGCTGCAAATGAACGGGGAGGTGATTGCTACAGGCCACGCGAATACGGCGCAACAAGTCCCTTCCTGTGTATCTGCAGTCGCTGGGAGCGGTGCCACCTCTGCCGTGGCAGTCAACCATCACCAAGTATTGTTTGCTGTCGTACAAGTTCCTGCTAAAATGCGTCCCTCCAGGGCCACAGACAAGCTGGATAGTTGTAGTGGCATTGTTGATGAAGGTGTTGTGGCTTTTGCAAACCTGGGGATTCAGGTGCCTCCGCACCATCATCTGGTTGCAGTAGGCATTGAGGTTCGGCGCTTTGCTTCTTGGAAAATCAATGTGCTTGTTTTGGAAAGCTGCCCAGGTTTGCCCTCTGCAGGATCGCGGCGAGAGCAGTGGGAGGAGGATGGCCAAGCGCATTAGTAGGAAGGAGGTTTGCATGGCAGTGCCTTAGCAGCTGTGGAGAAGATGAGGAGGATTAGGAAAGGAAATTTAAAAGTGATGCCTGTTCCTTAATGATGAAAATGAGAGCCAGTCTACAATTTCGGGGAATTCTGGGAATAGATGCTCCCATTAAGCTGTTGATATGGGAGTTCTTCTCCAACTCAGGGATTAGGCACAGGGTCTATGGGATCCGGATCTGGCCCCTGCCTGGGTTAGTACTGCAGCCAGGGCTGTGTGGCCAGAGACAACAAGGCTAGTCCCATGAATATTTAGCCGGAAACAAGTCCCACAGATCCCATCATTCCCCAGCCAGCCATACCAGGTTTGTCAACATTGTATCATAAATCTAACCTTGCCTGGTATGGTGTGGACACTCTCAGATATTGGGCATAGAAGATCAGAAAAGTCAAACAACAAAGGCTCTTGTCAGCAAGTACTGTCTGATATCAGGTGCTAGATAATGACTTTCAGAATCATAAAATTCTGTAAACTTTGCCTGACTGGGGAGATGTGATTTGGGTTAGAGCTGTGTAGAAACCCCATGAAGTTCTTAGGACTGCTCACCAGCAGGACATGAACCCCTGAGAGTTTTGCTTCAAAAGACAAGCAGGATAAATGCCCTATCTCAATCTGTTAGTAAACCTGGGCTTCACTCCAAGTCAGAAGCAATATTCTCTCTTGAAGCAGTCAACCCCCCCAGAATATTTAATGAGTTAAGAGTAATCTATCCAACTTTTAATAGCTTTCCAGGGGGAATCCCTGTACATTTCAGGGATTCTTGTTACATTTCAGTTTCTTGATACTGTCTCCTATCTCTTCCACCACTATCGGCTCTTCTAAATATACATTATATGCTAATGTGAATGACTGCCCATGCTCCCTGATGCACATCTATTCATAATCAAGCCACAGTCTCTTCAGGTCTGCCAACTTATGGAACGCCCCAACAGCTCCTGTGTAGGATCATCTGAAAAAGGAAGGTCAGCACAGGCCCTTCTGGTTTGAGTGAATTCAAACCAAGTGGAAAGATGCTTGACTGTTAACTTTTGTGTTACTGGTCATAGCAAGGCCATTAAAACTCCAGTCCTATGTACAACTTACTAGAAAGTAAGCATGTCCCATGGAATATGCAGGGCCTGAGTAAATGCATATAGACTCAAATGCATATGGACGCAAATGCATATGCATACAGCAAGGGCAAGACCCTATGTATGTTTAGACAGAAACAAAGGCTTATGGATGTCAGCTTTGCCCAGATGCAGGACATTTTCCTGCCAAAATATGTATAGGCTCGCACCTTAAACCATTGCACACATAATGGGGTACTTGCATTTTGGCTGTAGCATTTCACCACCGATTTCCTTCTTCTGCAATGTACCCTTACCACACTCTCCCCACTGCCTGGTTAGCAGACAGATGTCAACATCTGTATAATGTTGAAGGCACTTGAGCGGGCCGGATTCCCTTCAGGTCTACCCTCTGAAGAAAGATGAGAGGGTCCTCCTGTTTCCCCAGACGTGTGAAGGAGCTCATTTCAGTTTGCGCAAAGGGAAGATAAGGCGCTCCAGTGGCAGAACCCAGAAGGTGGTTTCCTCCAACTTACCCAAGTTCGGTTCTGTCTTGAGAGATGGACACCACTTCCTGCAGGGTCAAATTCTCTTTCTAAAGTGGCTGGCTTGCTTGGGCCAGGATCGGGGGGAGCGGGGGGGGGGAAGAGGAAGCACACTCAGCCCCTTGCCAAATATGGGAGTAAAGTTTAAGAAGAAACGGCCATGTAAATGTGGAAATGCAACTGAACGTTTGTAATTATGTAACTGAAAATTACACAATTGGCTGCATGTTCCTGAAGTCTGCAGGCAGGGATGTAACAGCAAGGTGAAAGGTTTGTAGGGGGAGGGGGGGTGAGCAGCTGATGACATTTATTTCATGGGTTCATCATAATTTGATTTCTGCAGATTATGAAGCTGCTAAAGGCACAGGCCAAACTACTTTTTTTTCTGGTTATGTTGGTGACCATTTGTCATGGATAGCTGGGTGAGGAAAGCTATTCAGAACAAGAGATTAGGATATTTTCATGGTTACCCTTTAAACAGAAGAAATGCCAGAGTTCCTTGGCTGACAGCAAGGACAAGTCCTCTGGTTTACTCCTGATTTGCTGTGCTACTTTTAGTTTGGCAGATTCCATTCAATCTGGTGGGACCTGGATCTTCTAGGGTCCAGACAGATGGGGGCAGAAGAAGGCCATGGTTGGTGATATTCGTTCAGGGGAAGCAGCAGGCTTATATTCCCCAACACAGGACATCTACCAGGGCAGTCAAAGTTGTGTCTCGACCAAAATGCAATTGCTACTGTTTTTCTGCAATAGCAGTTGTGTTTTTTGTGCACAAAATTGACTCAACTCCTGGGCATTGTGGAGGAGAAACACTGAAGCTACTACTTGTAAAAACAGTCATCCCTCTTACAAATCTGAGTGGGACTCAGGGAGTTTTATTCTGCAAAAAGGACTGGGCTTATGTGCGTTGTTGGTGGGGTGAAAGGCTCTGTGTTTCTCCCGGCATCAGCCACTTTTCTTCTGTGAATTGGATATTTGGTTGTGCAAACATACAATGAAGACTCCACCTCTGCCTTGTCCTCCTTTTCAAGTTATTTTCCCCCGAGTCCTCTCAGTTTGCAGTCTGTGAAATGGGTGCTGCTTCAGAAAAGCATGAGCTCCAAAGAGGGTTTTTGTGTTCTGATGCTCAGACCCCACTTCTGCCTCACACTGGGCAAGTTGCTTCTCTCTGAGCTCACCAGTCTGTCTTCAGGGAAATCGGGGTTTTGTTACTGGCTGCACTCAGCTTAGCTATTCTGTGAGGTGCCCATGATATTCCCTCGAATTCCACATGTGTCTGTACTAGCCAAAATGGCTGGGAGACCCTGATCTAAGTCTTTCTCTATGTGAGGTTTTTAATCTCCACTTTACTGAGGCTTCTTCCGGTTTCCTCCTTGCTGGATTAAGATTAGCTCTTTTCCATGTGTTTTTCCTGGCTCTCCCCTTGCCCACTTTTCTTAGTTTGCTAGCACTGACTCCTGGTTAAGTATGAAAATAAGACTGCCAACTTCAGGAATGCCCCAGTATCCTTCTCCTTAAGTTTGCCTACATTATGAAGATCAGCACAGTACAAACCAAAGACTGTTTTGGCTTGAGTCAGTGCTAATATTTGTGGAAAGCGCTTGACTGTTAATTTGTCCAGGACATGATGAGAAGGGTAGGACTGTCTTAGGTCCAAATGTGGATTGCACCCTTAGTGAGTCCCAGATGAAGTCAGTAGGGCTTCCTTCTGAATAGACACATATCTCCTTGCCTGATTCCTTGGCAAATAGTGTGTACAGATAAATGAAGAAAGGACATATTTATCATCTTTTTCCTTTAGTAAACATGCCTTGTGCAAGAAAATGACTCTTTAGAAAGGCACTTGAAAGGAATTTAAGGCATCTGCCACATTCTGAACCAAATGGGACTCTTTTGGCTTTAACAGTTATGCAGAAGAGGGAAATGCAGCCAGTGCAGGCAGAAGCTGCACCATTGAAACTCTTCCTTTTCCACAGCCAGCAAAGGTGCAGGACAAGCTCTGCTGTCTTTGTCCCCATATCCCCAAGCTCTGTGTGGAGTGAGTGCTTTCTAGAATAACAGAGAACCCATAGGAAATGCATGCATCAGGAAGAATGTATTTAGAATATATCGACTAGCAGCAATGATAATGTCTCAGCAGAAAAGCCAGGTGCAAAGCAGCTCTTTGGAGATGAGTTTTGAAGATTGCAGGCAGGAACGGGTCTTGAGAGGCTGTGCCATCTATTCAGCCTGTCTGTAGATGTAGTTCCATTCTGGCAGAGATGGATGGAGGCTAGAAAATTCTCTAGTATTGAATCTTGCAAATGTAGGCATTCTTTTTACTACATGAAACGTCATTCCATTGTTTAAAATCTGCAATACAAAACACAAGACAAACCATTGTTCTTATTAGGTGCTTTTTGTAGTTGCACATTCCATTGAGGCCTGAAAGATCTTCTCTTAAGGCTCTCAAAAGAAAAGCTTCTCATCAACATGATTTTGGGAGCAGGGGGAGTATAGAAATGATTAGAATGTAAGAAGTCAAGTAAAGAAAGAGTCCAGATTAATTCAGTTTTCCAGTGTCATGATCCACAACCAAGAACTTTTTGCTTTCCTTTCCACATCTCATTAAGAACACGGTCAAACATCGCTACTACCATTGCAAAGAATGTTGTTTGGCAGTCACCTTAATTAGAAAAATAAGGTTTGAGAATTTCAAGTAATGAATTCATGCAGATTAGCTGCCAGCTTCTGATTCATGGCATTCATTTGCTTATTATGCCTTTACCCTGCCATTTTTGGAGCACAAGAGAATTCCCCTCCCCCCTGTCCTAGCACCATCTTATGCTTATTCCCACTCTGTGAGATAGCATGAACTGAAAGAACATGCCCACACAGTGGGCTTCATAGCTGAGGGAAGACTGGACCCCATCTAAAAGCCAAAAGGGACATGTCTAGTCCATGTCTTAAGCAAATTAGCAAAAAGTGGACTAAATAGAAAATCTATTAGGTGGATCCAAAATTGGCTGCTAAATAGGACACAAAGAGTGCTCATCAATGGCACCTTCTCAAACTGGAGGGAGGTCACTAGTGGGATGCCACCGGGGTCAGTCCTGGGCCCATCTTTATTAATGATTTAGATGAAGAAGTGCAAGGAAAGATAATCACATTTGCAGACTATGCAAAACTAGGTGGAATTGTGAACAACCCAGAAGACAGAATGAAGACCCAGGGTGATCTTGATAAACTTGAATACTGGGCTGAAAGCAACAGAATGGGATTCAATAGGGACAAGTGTCAAGTCCTTCACCTAGGAAAAAGAACTGAATGCATTGGGACAAGAACTGAAAAGAAAAAGATCTCAGAGTAACTGTGGACAACAGGCTAAATATGAGCCAACAATGTGATGCAGCTGCAAAAAGGACAAATACTATTTTAGCATGCATTAATAGAAGTATAGAACATACTTCTAGAATAGAAGCATAGAGGAGGGCAACAAAAATAATCCAGGGTTTGGAAATATAGGTGTTTGAGAAGGGACTGAGAGAACTGGGTATGTTCAGCCTTGAGAAGAAAAGATTGAGGGGGGCATGATATTATTCTGAAGTATCTCAAAGGCTGTCACAAAGAGGAAGGTGTCTTTTCGCTAACACCAGAATGTAGGACACGGAATAATCTATTCAAGTTGCAACAACCCAGATTCAGGCTGGACATCAGGAAAAGCTTCCTCACTGTCAGAGCAATATGATGGTGGAACCAGCTGCCTAGAGAGGTCATGGGCTGTCCCACACTGAAGACATTTGTAAAGAAACTGGACAGTCATTTGAGTGGGATATTGTAAACTGGTGTCCTGCAACAGCAGGTGGTTGGACCTGATGACCATCTTGGCCCCTTCCAACTCTACCATTCTATGATTCTATGTCTTTAAAGTTGTGCCTGGCTTTAAAGACATAGAATCATCAGATCAGGGGGTAGGAGAGGCTCACTTAGTGTCTTGTAGTACCTAAGTATCCTTTCTCAGACCCTGGAAAAGGTTTCTTTACCTGTGCTTTTCCTCAGTTCCACGCAGTGTTCCATCTTGCCTTGATTGTTTGGCTCTCCTGGCAACCAGGCCTTGTAATTATAGGCTGATCTATCAGCCCACCTCCATCTCTGATTCTGTAGAGACAGAACAGCAGGTCATGTGATTAAGGGGTAGTATCCAATGATAGTTCCATATAGATCAGAGCTATTGAAATGGTTGGGACTTAGGTTAATTGCAACAAACTTCTGTGCCTTTTTTTTTCAATGAGCAACATGAAATATCATCCAAGGAAAGGATGAACTCAGAGGGAGAGAGGGGAAGATATTTGTCATCAGATGACACCAATGCAGGAGAAAGGTTGGATGATAGAGATCAATCACAAGCTATGATGTTAGGAGAGGATTCCCAGGAAAATGGATGAAGAAATAGGACATTGATTGTGGGATGGGGCACATGGAGATAAGGCTGGATTAGCATCACTAGGCAGGCAATATTCAGAGATAATAGGATAACCAGGAATGGATCAAGAAAGTCTCACCCAAAAGGGATCATGAAGCCCGATCCAGACATCACTTCGTGTTTGCTGGAATCTGGAGATGTATTCAGCCACTATAGCAGACTCTGCCGCATTGAGGATAGAGGCAAGATGAGCCCCAAAGCCATAGGTCTGGCAATCAACCTGATGATGGAGAAGGAAAACCATTTTGGTCCAATATCAATTCCCAATGCGGGGTTAGGTGCAGAACGAAAGCTTTCCAAATTTCTACTTATGTGGAAAGACAAACATTTTAAACTGGTGCTTCAGAACTGTAATCCAAGGGATACTTTTGAGAAACTTTAGTGTGGCTGATAGATATTGAAGTAGTGTTTTAAGATATTGTTTTCTTCAGCACTACATTTTTGCCTCTTAAAACCCTCAAATTTAGTGCCAACTCAGACGTGACATAAGAGTAGAATTCCTAGTGGGGTTTTGTAAAAACTGCTTTGCAAACAACCCTAGGGATTTGTGAAGATGGTTTAGACTGAGGCCATCCAAACAGCTCCTGCCAATATGCCTTCTCACCTGTGAATAACAGCAGTTTGGGGAGAACCATTAATGCTTGAGAATCAAGGTAAGCAATGGGCTAAACTTTCCCTCCCCCATGTCATGGCTGCAACCCAAATCCTACTACCACTGATGCAGTTGCTTTTGGAAAAGGAAAGAGGGTAGGAACAGCTCTAGACATCAGACTGGGTCCAGATTTGCAGTGAATCAGTTCTGCTGGTGCAAGCAGACTTCCTCATGCCTCCCTCCCATGGTGGTTCCTCCAGATCCCTGAAAATGCTATGTAGAGTTAGGAGACCCTAGTGAATGGGGCCAGCGATGGGGCATGGACAAAGTGGATCCTCAAAACTGAGGTGGAGAGATCTTCCAAGTGGAACCTTTCCTCTCACACAAAGTCTTTTCCTCTTACCTCAGCCTGTTGCCACGTCACCTTGGAATCAAAATATGCATAGCAGTTGTATAGGTACCGCAGCCACCTCCTGGGACAATGCTGTGCCATAGCTGTATGTGGAGGGGAAGGCCAGAAATGAAGAAAAGAACAATGTTGACCATTTTCTCATCCGAGTTCTAGATTCCATATTATCTCTTTGAAGTAGCCTCAGTAATAAAGATGCAGTTGTATTGGCCCAGCTCCCCTAATTCACAGTGGACATCGTGTATAGATCAATGAAGGGACCCACCTTCTAGAAAATGATGGGAGAGCAGAATAGCCACAAGGCAAAAACTCCTGGAGGTGAGGAGCTGCATCTTCTGCCTGGTCTTTGAAGGGAAACAACAGAAGTCGGGAGCCAGAATGAGTCATAGAGAAGAGAGATGCAGTGAAATCAAAGAGGCCAGAGCTGATGACAGCTGACTTGAGTCCCATTGACCTGATGAACCCTGAATCCATCCCAGTAAGCCCAGAGGCAGGTTTAGTGATTTCTGATCATCCAAGGTAGAAAAGGAAGGAAGGAAGGAAAGTCATGCTATTCCTTCCCAAGGGTGCAATTCTGTGGGCTACCTCCTTATTGCCTGTAAACATGGAAGATTTTGAGCATCCCATCTAAGGTGGGGAACAAAGGACAATGCTGCAGTTATGCTAGATGGGCTAGGCTTGGCTTTCTGCCAGGTACTCACCCTTGGAGTACTTACCCCCAAATTTTTATAGAGTTCTCCATTGAGACTGTCATGACAACTTCTCCTATTAGATTCCAGTTTTGTATACTGCCCTGTGCCTCTTCCACATCAATGAGTCCTTCCAAAGATCCAGTATACCTCAATGGTAACGGCTGACATTGCAATCCTATGTATGCTCAGTTGATAGCTAAGCACTATTAACTTCAGTGACACTGACTTCTTGGCATCTTTCTCACTAGGATTATTGGATTAAGATTGCTTGAGGCAATATAAGTACTTGCTGAAAAGCCCAGGGGTGTTATCCTGTTGATTGTTTGCTGTACTAAGAAAATTGAGGGCATAATTCTCTGCATTTTTAGACAGAATATCTGGATGAGAATGAGAAGAGTTTTCCTGTCTAAACCTGCAAGGCATAACACCTTTAAGACTCAAGCTGTCCCCCTTGCTAACTGGGAAAAAGCCCCATTGATTTCTCTAGGACTTACTTCTGAGTAGACCCTTATCATTGACATAAGTCTTTGGCTTTGCATATGTTAAACTAGCTGAACTAGGTTCTAACAGTTCTGTAATGATTTCCTTCTTATGCAGTGTGCCCTTAGTTTCTCCTGATCACAAAAGCCTGGCCAACTCCATGACATCAACAACTGCATGAACCTGAGGACCTTTTCGGAGCTGAATGTACTTCATCGGAGCTGAATGTACCTACCTTGTGCAGAAAGGTGAAAAAGCCTTAATTTTCTCAAACTTGACACTTCCTTACTCAAGGTTTGTCCAAGTGTAAAACAGCAGCTTCAATGACAGAAGCCAGGAATGGCCTCCTCCAACTTACCTAGCTGAGTCCTGCAGCACAACACGGCCTGCAGACAAATTGTTTTGACTGAGTGGCTGCTACCGTTTTTCAATGAGGGACCAGTTAGAAAGAGGAAGCACATTCAAGCTCTTGCCAAACATGGTGGAAAAATTTATGAAGAAAATCAGGTGATGTGTTTGAAATCCAACGGAAGATTTGTCATGTTGTAACAGAAAATAAAACAATTAGCTACACAATCCTAAACTTCATGGTGAACTATAGTCAGGGAAACAACACTGAGCAGAAGAGTGTGTCGTGGCAGGCCTGGTTTATTTTCATGGCTTCTGAACAATGGGCTGTTGTTGAAATGTGGGTTATATCGTCTGAGCATAGGTGAGTTCATCGATCATGGCTTGTTAATCATGAACAACCATGAACAGAACCCATGGCTTGTTTCTGGGTTGTGAGCTGTGGGCTGCTTGGTTATCTCTGCTTGGGCTAGAAGCAGCACCCAAGTGCTGCGAGGGAGGACAGAGGAGAAATATGAGAAATAGGGTGTCCCTGGTTCCTTCCTGCACCTACCAGCACGAGAGACATGTCTTTAAGAAAGCAAAAGAGGCTTGGGAGGGCAAAGTCACCTCCAGCTCACTTCCATTCTGCTGGTAGCCCTGCGCAGGATCTTGGGCACCTGCCCTGTCCGATGGGAGCACAACCCCTGGGATTTTGCTCTCAGCCAGGAGGGGCATGCCTGCTCCCACATCCGGCTTCAGCTTCCAAAGTGAAATGGAATGATCACATTCTAAGAACGTACTTACCCAGCCCCAGATGTGGCATCACAACAGCCTGGCCTTCTCTCTTGAAGCGCTCCAGCCACTTGGCCTGCATTTTGTTATTACTACCACTGGAGTATTGTGCTCAGTTTTGGGCCCCTCATTACAGAAAGGATATAGTCAGGTTAGAGTCAGTGCAGTGTAGGGCCACAAGGTTGGTGGCCGGTTTGCAGGGGATGCCGTATGAGGCGAGACTGAGGGAACTGGATCTCTTCAGCCTGGAGAAGAGCAGACTCAGAGGGGATATGTTGGCGACATACAGGTATGTGAGGGGATGTCACATGGAGATGGGTAGAGACCTGTTCTTCCCTGCAGAGGAAGGCAGAACGCGCTCCAACCAAGCCAAGCTCAGGGAGCCAAGGTTCCATTTGGATGCCAGGAAGCACTTCCTGACAGTCAGGACCCCGAGGGTGCGGAATGGGCTCCCACAAGAGGTCGTTGAGGCCCCATCGGTGCGGGTGTTCAAGGATAGGCTGGACGTGCACATGGTGGGCATGTCGTGAGTGGAGCCGGCTGGTGCTGGAGGTCAGACTAGATGGTCTGGGAGGCCCCTTCTGACTTGCTCTGTTTCTATGTTTCTATGTTCTGCGTTTGTTCCCCAACCAACAGCTTCCCTGGCTGGCTTTGCAGCCTCAGGGGACTCTCATTTTTAGAAATGTTGCCCTGCACATGAATGGCAAGTGTGTAAATGAAGACACAGTGGTTGGCTCTTGGGTGTGAACCAGCTCCATGTGTTGACCAGTATTTCTTCCAACTTTGTACAGAACACTGTGAAGTCCCTCCTGATGTCCCTTATTCATTTATTTTTATTATATTTCTATCTTTTTAAAGAACCAAAGCAGCTAATGTCAGTCTCCTCCCCCACTCTCAATCTTATTCCCACAACAACAACCCTGTGAGGTGGGTTGGGCTGAGAGTCTAGGACTGGCCCAAATTCATCCACTTGGCTCCATGGCCAAGCAGGGACTAGAACCCAGATTGCTGGAGTCCCATTCCTGTTCTCTTCACCACCACACCGCTGTGGCTCTAGATGTTAGTATGCAGGTTCCTGAGCCACTGGGCCACTTGATGGCTGATGGTGCTGTGATGCAGGTGGTACATTTTAACAGGAGTGACTGGCAGGCCATGTCCATTCAGAAGTCAGTCCCACAGAACTCAATGAGACTGACTGCCAGGTAAGTGAGAATGTACATATTCAGAATTCTTGATCTAGGGCAGTGATGGTGAACCTTTAAGAAACCGAGTGCCCAAACTGCAACCCAAAACCCACTTATTTATCGCAAAGTGCCAACACTACAATCAAACCTGAAAACTGAGGTTTTAGTTTAGAAAAAACAACTCACAGTCAGTCCAAGCATATGTGTGTGTGTGTGTGTGTGTGTGTGTGTAGGCAATGCACTGACCAGCCATGCGAAAGCTCGGAGGAGTCGTGGCAAATGAGTCATGGCTCATGATGTCATCGCCTGGCTCCATTACTCCTTTCTGAGCATGGGCATGGCCCTGTGTGCTCTGTTAACTGATGCTTGGCTGCAAGGGAGATGCTGGGGTGACTTGGCTAGAGGGCCGACAGAGAGGACTCTGTGTGTCTGCTGTGGCATGCGTGCCATAGGTTCAGCACCACTGCCCTAACCCTATTCTGGTGCACTCCCCTAACCCTAATATGGGGTAAAGTTCCATTGAAAAGAGGGCAGTTTGGAAAAAGTCTCCCTTAAGCAGCTTTTTCTGCACTGCTCATCATTTCTGCCCATCCTGAACACATTCCAACCATCAAAATCATGCCAGGACAGCTCCTTTTTCTAACCCTAACCCTACCCTGGTGCACACCCCTAACCCTAATAAGGGGCTGAAGTTCCATTGAAAAGAGGGCGATCTTGGAAAAGCCCTCCTTGAGCAGCTTTTTCTGTACTGCTCATCATTTCTGCCCATCCTAAACACATTCCACCCATCAAAATCATGCCGGGACACCTCATTTATTACAATCCAGGGCACTTCTGCTTTGATCCAATATCTATTCTGACCCAATTTGAAACCTTTTGAAGATGCTCTTGATTCCCATAAGTTATTCAAGTGGGGATTTTTAAAAACAATGAGAGAAATACATTACTTCAACTGTTTGCATTTGCAGGAATCTGGTTTATTCACAGGATTGGCAAGCATATTTACGCAAGTGACAGGAGTAAAAAAAACACCCTTTGAGAGCCCACTGGGGGTACCCAATCCAATGAACATAGAAGAAATGCATGAGGCATGTAGGTAGCCCGTGAAGGGACTGCCAAGATGGAGTGGATACAAGCTGCTTTTATAACCTCTCAGTTGCAAAGCTTGAAGGAGGGGTGGGTTAGGGTGGGGGATCACAATGTGGCAGAGGAACATTAGGGTAAAACAACAGGGATTAAGACACACAAAGAGAAGAATCTTCAGGAAAAGGTATACAATTAGCACATCTAAGAGTGTACCTCCAAAGGAAAACCTTTCAGGGACTTTAGCGTTTCTAAGACATATATGGGAAGCAAGACTTGCCCCAGAGATTCTTGATCAGATCAGGAATCCCTCCTTAAGTCTAAAGCTGTTCCTACAGTGTCAGGCTTTTAGCAGCCATTTTATGGCAAAGCTTTCGCTCATTTTGTCCTGATACAAGAAAGGGCTGCTCCAGGTCAGCAGTGCCAGGTAATCGTCACTAAGCTTAGGAAAGGAAAAAAGGATTGATGATGTGCCTGACAGAGGAATCAGTTCACCTGTACAGCTTCTCATTGCAGGACCTGTTGAGGTTGGGGCCTTAGAGGCTTGTTGGAGAAGAACTCCTAACATGCTCTGTGTGATGCCCCTGCTGGTCTGGAGGGCACCAGGTTGGGGAAGGCTGAGATGGAACAGGCTGGAAATGAATGTGGCTTTTCCTGGGTGAATGAAGAAGCTTGAAAAGTGTGGTGTGTATGATGAGCACCCCTGCGTGAACCAGCCCTGGCCTTCACGGCCTTTGGCTACTCAGTGGGCATGTTGCAGCCGAGGGTTGTGATTCAGGGATGGCCCAGAATTAGTCACAGAGGAGGAATTAGGTCATTCCCAAGTGTTTTCCCTGGGAGCAAGATACATCAGAGGAGAATTTCCCTTGGAAAGCATCCCCCTCAAGAAATTAAGTGTGACATTTCAGTTAGGAGCCCGCAAATCTCTCAGAAGCCTGATTTGAAAGGTACTCTGGGACAGCAAATGGGGGTCAAAGCGAGGAAATCCAGTAAAGCAGAGACATAAGCAGAGGGAGGTTCAGGAGCAAGCACGAAGTCAAAGAGAAGCAAATGGTGGCCAACTACATATTCAGATGTTGGTGAATGGAAGCTGAGTCGCATCGGTGCCTGCTCACTACACGAGACGCAGCAAGTAAATGGGTTTATATCGAAAGCACATCACCTTGATTCTTTTCATTAGAGACCTGCCACTGTACATGCAGTCTGGATAATGAGTGTCCTTTTCATGAGTGCATTGGACTACCGGGAAGTGCTGTGGGCTGGTGATAGTTCCAAACCATGTGTGGCTGCACACTAGACGGATTACTCTGGCGGTGTAGTTGATGAACGTGTTTGTGGATTTGCAGGGTTGCTGCATCAGCTGTCTATCCCTCATCCGAATCTCGCAGTAGGCGTGGAGGCTCGTGAGAGGTTTTTCTGCATTGTCGATGTGCTTGTTTTGGAAAGCGGTCCAGCTCTGCCCATCACAGGATTGTACCAGCAGGACCCCGAGAAGGATGGCTGCGCAGACCAAGAAGCGGCCGGAGATCTTGGAGGTCGGCATGGCTGTGCCGTGGAATCTGCAGGGAAGAAGAAGAGAGAAAAGAAGGAGAGCGTGAAAGTGGTGACTGCTTCTTAAGGGTGAAACTGGGAGCTGCTCTGCCAGGGTTGAAGAATGAGCGGGCGGCATAGCCTGGCTTGCACCAGCTCAGTTTGCCACGGTGGCACATTGCCACATTGTGAAATGTTCTCCCGGAAACAGCTACAGCCGTTCCTGTGGGCAAGGGGGGCCCTGTGCATGGATTAATGGGCATATCTAGGGGGAACTTGAACCTTTCTCCCCTCCCAAAACTTGCTGAATGTGTGCTGAGCTGGGCATCCTACTGAGCTGCCATGAACCACCCTTTGGAGAAGAATCTGGCTGCCTGATGCTCCCAGCAGGCCAGCGCCAGGCAGGACACAGGAAGGGCTGGAGCAACTTAGAGATGGAGGCAACTGCCGGCTTGGTCCCCAGTAACTGAACGTGCTGATCAGTTCGTCCATATTCAATTGCGTGGAAATTCAAGCAACTCATGTGTCATTGCAGTCAATGGGATCTGCCAGGCTGAGTCATGCCAAGATTTAATTGAAATGGTAACTCTCATGATGGCAACTCAGATGCACATTAGGAGGCACTCAGTGTGCATTCTGCAAAATGGGTATTTTGCGAATGCCCCTCAAAGCAGCAGCCCTGCTTTGAAACTTTGACCAACTTTCCAAGGGCAGTTCACCAAAATTACAGTATTCCAAAGTGAGCGAGAAGTGACTGGTCCCTTGCTCTAAAGAAGTGGGATGGGTGCAGCACTGAGCAAAATCCCTCTTCTTGCAGGTGCTTCTACAGCCTTCACAGAGAAGGTGGGCTGCCGGGCAGAAACATGCAGAGATGAGTCCCTGAATGAACCTGCACTGCCATTGCAGGCTGAAAATTGTCGGGCTTTGAAGGGTGAGGACTGATAAGCTGGCGGTGCTCTCCAGTGCTCTTCTGGCAAGACTGGAAACCATGCTGAGTAAATCAGGAGCACCAAGCCTCCCTCTGGGTGGCCAGAGAAACTGGGTGCCAATCCAGCTGGCTGAGCAGCGTGGGAATCGGCGCTTTCTTGGGAGCAACGCTGAGACCTCCGTTCTGCAATCAGCAGATCTGAGGTGGAGGAGAAGGCCTCTGGTGGGAGGCAGGCCAAGGTTTGGAATATATGGGAAGGACTTGACAGTTTTCTCTCTATGAAGACATAGAGCTCCTTCTGCGAAAAAATATAAAGGGTGGACAAGAGTACATGCAGACATCCATGATGCAACACTAGCAATTAAGGAGATTCAAATTGCGACAGCCTCGATTCAGGCTGGTCGTCAGGAAAAGGTTCCTTACTGTGAGAGCAATATGATGGCGGAATCAGCTGCTTAGGAAGTTGCTGGGCTCTCCCATACTAGGGACATTCAAAAAGAAACTGGGCAGCCGCCTGAGTGGGATGGTGTAACATGGTGCCCTGCATCAGCAGGGGTTGGACTGATGGCCTTCATGGCCCCTTCCACCACTACTGTTTTATGATTCCGTAAGGCACTAATGCTCCAGAGTCAATTTGGAGCATACCTCTTGCTCAGATAGATGTTGCAAGTAGTCGTGAGCCTTCTCCGAGGAAGGTGCCTAAGGAGCTTAACACAGCAGCATCACAACTTGGAAGCAAACCCCAGGGAGTTTAGTGGGACTGACTCCCAGCAAAGAGATCCTGGGATGCAAAACTGCCCGTCCCACAGAGTTTCTCCCCTTATTTGCTAGTGTTAATTGGGCTGCATGTTACAAAGGGGGCCATGGATGGATTTCCTCAGATCATGCCGCTCTTCAAAGTGCCAGGGCAGTGCATGCTGGATATTTCTTGGCCATTGCAAGTTCTCCCTCACAGCCCTTGTGAGC